TGCGGCTGCGGCGGGGGCTGTGGAGGAGCCGGGCCGGGGTTCTTCACCATCAGTAAATTGTCACCTGGAGAAGGAGACACAGAGATGTGACAGTGCTAACCCACGCTGTCCCACACTGGGGTTGGAGGGGAGAACCAGTCTTCACTGTGGCTTTTTGCGAGTCACTAGCTATGTAGGTCAGAACTTCCCTGAAAAACAAGGAGGTGAACAAGATGATCTGTCATGTCACTTGTAGCTTGGGGGGCGGGGTCTTCCAGGCCCCCTGAGCTATCTGAAAGCCCCGCTGGGCATGCTTGTGCTAGCCAGACAGGTGGCACCAAGGAAGGGTTGTGACCTCGGAAGTGAGGGTGGGGCTGCTAGAAGAAATTTCCTGGGAGGCAGACAGTGCCCCCAAGCCCAAATAGAACTAGCAAAGCTGTCCTGTACTCTGGTGACCAGGATGGAATGGACAGAGGTCCACAGATGCAGGACCACATGGAGTCTCTGCTTCTGCTTCCACCAGCACCACAATTCTGACTGGTATAGGATGGAAAGCCTGGTGGGTGGGAGTGGGACCCTGACACAGACCTCAGGGCCTGACTTCTCTGGACCCTGACTGCCATTTGACCTCTGTGGAGGTGGCTAGCTAGTGGGTCTCCAAGAAATGACTGTTCTTCCTCTACGAAGATTCCTTTTCCTTACATTCTAAAGTGCCTAGTGACAGGGGTAGTATCAGTAAGGTCAAGAATATTCAAACATGCAGCATAGTGGTAAAGCTGACGTCATGTGCCTCCAGTCTGCAAAACTGGATGGACTGCTGACTAACAATTGCTTTGCCCAGAATCCTACTTCACTTTCTTTATAGACACGTAAAGTAAACTGTCTGCTTACCAGGAAGGGAAATGCATCTTTCCTGAATTAGGAATTACTTTTTAAAACTCTTTTTCTCAGTCACATGTAAGCTATATCACAAGTTGTCTGTTTATAAATAACTATGTAAATAGTTCTTTCTAAACCTAAAAATCCTGTAGCTTTGAACTAGCAGCACTCCAAGTATAAAACCCAATGACCACCCTTAGGTGGGAACGAAAGTTTTGAAAGAAGTCTCTCTGCTCCCTCAGATTTGCAGTAAAGTGCTTTGGATATTGCATTCCATTTGTCTTACAGGCAGTTGACTTGTGTTCAGTAGCACTGATGTAGTTCCACAGTTTTCTACTACTTTGAGAGTAAGTGGGGGCAGCACATGGGCTCTGGATGTCAGAACAGTGGTCTTAGCCCAGAGCTCAGGCCCCTGACCCCAGATCCAAGTGGTTTGCTATCTCTAAGCCAAACCAATCTCACAGTCATCAAGTGAATTTCTACTCCTGGTAAACCTCTGTTAGGTTTCTTAGGCTTTGACTTTTAATGGGAGCAGACTGTCCATCTTCCCAAAAAGCAGCTGGTGGATTTGAAACCTCAGACTTCTGGTTAGCGTCCCACTATGTAACCAGCAGGGAGTATCTCTTCTTGTTGCTGTTGAGTGCTGTCGAGTTGGAACCAACCCATAGCTGACCCTCAGTGGGTTTTCAAAGGCAGTTAATTGCACAGGAGGAAACTGCCCATCCTTCTGAAAAGCAGCTGAGAGAGTGACCTAGGAGCTTTATTTCTCCAACAGTCTCTCTGAGCTTCCTTCCCTCATCATCGCTCCAGGCCCAAACAGCCTCTTGTTCACAGTGCTTTCTACTTACAGGCGCCTGTCTCCCCCATTATCCCACCACTACCCTAGTTTTGGGGCAGCCTAAGGAAGAAGGTGAAGCTAAGCTTGTCTACTTCCCTCTTATTTGTGCTCCTGCCTAGTACACAATGCCCGCCCCTCACTTTCTGGTGCCCCTGCTCTCCCCAGAGGCTACTTCTCAGACAACCCCACCAAGGTTTCTCAACAAGGTCTCCTCACTAAAGGCTTTCCTTCTAAAAAAGACAACTTATATAGATCTTCCCCAGTCCTCCCCATTCTCTCTATTCCATCCAAAACTGACTAGGCAAAATGGTGCCAGTAAAAGGGCAGAGTATGAACCTCTATGCTCCCAGTTACTACAGAAATACTGGAGGATGTAGGAAAGGACAAGAAAAACTGTCAGAACTCTGGTAAGCACCCAAAGGTCTGCAGCAACCAAGTAAATACTGGCCAAAAAAAGGCAAGTTCAAAATAGGAAAGTTTGATGGCATTTTTACTTATCTATACCCCGTCCAAGAGGTCAGCTGGAAGATGGCCGCTCACATTCCAAGTGTAGGACCCTAGTCCTCGGTTTCAGAGGAAAGTGAATAGACCTCATTCACACATTACTGAGTTTCTCCTGTTATAGTCTGTTAGATGAAGAACTGAAACAAGACCCTTGTCTGTTCCTCACGTAAGGAGGTGAAAAAGCAGGAAGGTACTTCCCAGAACACTAAAGGTGAACAATCCACATGCAGCTATTGGGGGGGGGGGGCGTAGTAATGAAAAGACTGCCTAAAATGGGAAAGACAGGCAGTGAGTTTACTGGAAATGAGGGCACTGAAAAGCCTTTAAGTACTCAGGGAAACTTAAGAAGCAATACACATGCTCAGAAAGGATGTGGGAAAGCTCCAAAGAGTCATGTCGGGCTCACCTTTAGGCTCCACGTAAGCCTTGCTCAGTATTTTTTTTTCTTCCCAATTTAGCTAAACAAGTGAAAAGGTTTATTAAGGCAATAAAACAGAGGCATAGCTAGTGAGAGGAAAGGCCATGCAAAAGAGTTGACATAAAAAAGAAAGAAAAGGGCAAAGGGGGGAAAGGACCCCTGAAAATACAGAGGCAAAGCTAAACCTTACAGCATGCTGTCAGCAGAAAAGGAGAGAGCTTGCCTCGCTGAGTGTGAAGAAAGTCTTCCAACAAAGAGTCAGTATGGGCAAAGGACAGGAAAACAGAAAGGGGAGAAGGGAGCAGATTCTTTCCCCCTGGTTTTTAGTTGTCACTTTTAATTACTATTTTATTATCATGTCTGGGTTTAAGGAAGCCACTATCAAAACCACTCCACACATGGCCAAGTCTTTGCAAAAATAATAAAGTCATCAAATTGATGGAACACTATTACCTTCAACAAGAAACAACAGCAGTAAATCTTGAGGAGAGAAGAATCTGATTCCTAATATTAGCACATCATATTCAAATATCCTCTTTTCAATAACAACAGAATCACCAGGCATATGAAGACCTACGAATGGCCCATTCAAAGAGCAAAATACAATAACAAACACTGTTCCTGAAGAAGTTGAATTTCTTAAATGACAATTTAAAAATGATAGTCTTAAACATGTTCAAAGAACTAAACAAAAATATGGACCAAATAAACTATAGGAAAATAATGTATGAACAAAAAATGGGAATAAAGAGAGAGAAACGGAAAAAGAAATGAAGAAATTCTGGACTGAAAGGTATAAAACTAAGAGGAAAAATTCTACACAAGTGTTTCAAGGGGGCTCTGGTGGCCTAGTGGCAAGAAGCTGTACTGCAATCCCAGAGGTGTGGTTCAAATCCACCAGATGCTCTGCTGGAAAAGGAGGGGTAATCTCCTCCTGTACCAGTCAGATCCAATTTGACGATACACACACACAAAATAATAAAATTTTTTTTAAAAAGTGTTTCATGTCAGATTTGAGCAGAAGAAAGATTCAATAAACATGAAGGAAATAATATTTAAATGAACAAGTTTAAAGAGCAGAAAGAAGAAAATGAACAGAATTGTGGTGTCAGAGACCTTAAAAATTGGCTTTCCTACCCAATTTTGATATTTAATGTCAGCTGAATCCAGTCTCTGTCATCTAGAAGCATGGTAGGTTTGAGGACTCTGGGCATATGTGGTGGTTTTTGGGGCCCACGAGGGGGTTGGCAAGGCAGACCTGCCAGATGAATGGGGGATCTGTGGCAGGGAGTTTGCCAGCATTTGGGCGTGCCAGGCTGGGAAGATACTGAAAGGTTAAGCCCTGTCTAGGGTCTTGGGATATTTAATATCAGCTGAATCTGGTATCTGGCTCCTGGAGGCGTGGTGGGTTTGAGGACTCTGGGCATGTGTGGTGGTTTTGGGGGGCCCACGAAGGGGTTGGCAGGGCGGACCTGCCAGATGAACTGGGGGTCTGGGGCAGGGAGTTTGACAGCATTTGGGCATGGCAGGCTGGGAAGACAGTGTAGGGCCCTCGGGCCTGCGGCCCCCGGGCCAGTCTTTCATTGTTTTTGCTCAGACATTCTTCTAGGTCGTATAGCCCTGGTGTACAAGTTGCAATACAGCGGTCACTTGTGGTTGCTGTGAGGATGAACACTGTGACACTGATGTGTCAAATGTGTTAATGGCTGGTTACCCAATGTGTACAGAGAGTGGGGTGGAGCTCCTCAATTAAAACAAGCTTGGAAGGAGGAGTGGCATCCACTTCCATAATAGCTTGCCTCCAGAAACCCTATGAACCTGGAGAGAGGATGAAAGGCACCCAAGCGTCGAGTACTCTCTTTCATAGGGTCGCTATGGGTCGCCTGTGACTCGACGGCACTTAACAACAACAACAACAACCCAATTTCTGTCAAATCAGAAATTTACTATCTAAAATTGGGAATTACAACAAAATGAGTGAAGCAGCTGGCTTACATATTTCCATGAATATAGAGTATGGTAAGGGGAAGGTTGATCCTTCAGATAACAAAAGATAATGGCTAGAAAAGCCAGGGGGTGGTCTGTTGTGTCAGAAACCTACAAAATTGGCTTTTATAAAGGAGCTCTGGTGGCCTCATGGCAAGAAGCTGCAATGCAATCTCAAAGGCACATAGTTCTATGCCACCAGCTGCTCTATGGGAGAAGGATTGGCTGTGCTTAAGCCCATTAGTACAGGCTCTGTGCAAGCCTATTCTGTTAAGGTTCTTCCTCTGTTTTTCTGACCTTTTACCCTTCTAAGCATAATGTTCTTCTCCAGAGACTGACTCCTCCTGATAGCATATTCAGAACAAATAAGTCTCACCATCCTTGCTTCTAAGGAGCATTCTGGCTATACTTTTTCTAGGACAAATTTGTTCATTCATATGGTTTGTTGTTATTGTGCAACAGCAAGTCACTTGCAACTCATAGTGGCCCTATGTACAATAGCTCTGAACTCTGCTCTATCTTGAGCCAGTTTCACTGTTTCTAACATACCTGTCACTACTACTCTATCACTTAGTCAATTCATTTCATCCTGGGCCTTCATCTCTTGTGCTGTCCCTCTCCCCTCCTAATCATGATGTACTTCTCGAAGGACTGATCCCTCCTGGCAACATGCTCAAAGTATGTCACAGAATTCCAAAATTCTTGTCTCCAAGGAGCAGCCTGGCTTCACCCTCTCCAGGAGAAACCTGTTTATTCTACTAACAGTCCATGGTATATTCAATACTCTTTTCTAGCACTGCAACTCAAAGGCATCAATTCTTTTATCATTCTTAGTCATTCTCCAGCTCTCTGATGCATAGCAAGTATTTACAAAGACCATGGCCTGGATCAGATACACTTTAGTCTCCCTAGACTGACATCATTGCTCTTCAGTACTCTGGAGAGGTCCCTGACAGCAGACTTTTCCATTGAAATTTGTCTTTTGATTTTCTGGCTGCTGGTACCAAGAGTGCTGATTGTGGAGCCAAGCAAACTGAGGCTGTTAACAATCACAATCTCTTTACCATCTATCATGATGCTGCTAATTGGCTCAGTGTTGAGAATCTTTGTTTTCTTGATATTGAGCTTCAATCCATATTAAAGACTGCAGTCCTTGACCTTTTGCAGCAAATTCATCTAGTCCTCCTCAATTTCTGCAAGCAAGGTTGTATCATCTGCATAATGTAGGTTGTTGAGGAGTCTTCCTCCAGTCCTGATACCACATTCCTCCTCATAAAGTTCAGCCTCTGGGATGATCTGTTCAGTACATATTGAAAAGGTATGAAGACAGGACACATCCCTGATGCACTTCATCTGATTTTGAACTACGTAGTGTTTCCCTGCTCTGTTCTAAAGACTGCCTCCTGGTCAAGCATAGGTATCACATAAAGCACAATCAAGTTTTCTGGGATTCTCAATCTTCTCAAAGTTAGCCACAGTTTGTAGTTCATGGTTATATTCTTTACCAATACCATCATTCAAATGCAGCAATGCAATTGCTATGTACAATGTTACAGCGAGAAACTTAAGGATGTAACCATTCTCAGCTTCCACTTCCTCCTTCAGAACTATTAGCTCCTAGGAGTTCATATAGTACTTTTTGAAATTTTTCAGTGTCAGTTATTTTTGGAACAGTGATTCTGTGTATTCCCTCTACCATCTTTTGGTGCTTTCTATTACCCATAGCATTTTTCAATATTGCGGTTTAAATTTGTTTTTCAGTTCTCTCAGCTTGAAAAACGCAGAGCAAGTTCTTCCATTTTTACTCTCCAGTTCCAGCTCTCTGCCATGCGAATGCTTTTCTCTGTCTCTCGACTTGTCCTCTCAGATCTTCTACTTTTCCCTTTTACTTCAGCATGTTTCCCCTTTGTTTTGCCTTCTCGATGCTCCAGTGCAATTTTCAGAGTCTCTTCTGACATCTATTTAGGTTTTTCTTTCTCCTCTGTGTTTATAATGATCATTAGTTTTATTCATGGATGCCATCCTTGATATTATCCACAACTCATCTCATCTTCGATCATTGGTGTTCAATGCCTCAAACATATTCTTAAGATTATCTTGTACTGCAATCCAAGAGGTCCACAGTTCAAATCTACCAGATGCTCTGCTGGAGAAGGAGGGACAATCTCCTCCTGTACCAGTTAGATTCTATTTGATGGTACACACACAAAATAATAAAATTAAAAAAAAAATATTATCTTGAAGCTGCATTAAAGGTATTGGCAAAAAATAAGGCCCCAGGAATTGATGGGATAACAACTGACTTGTTTCAAATAACTGATGAAGTCTTAGATGTGCTCACCTGTCTATGCCAGGCAATCTGTAGGACAGCTGTCTGGCCAACAGATTGGAAGAGGTCCATACCTGTTGCCATTCTCAAAATAGGTGATCCAATTTTATGTGGAAACTACTGAACAATAATATCATTAATATCATATGCACACCACAACAAGATAAAGGTAAATAATCCAACTGAAAAATGGGCACAGGATATGAACAGACACTTCACTGAAGAAGACATTCAGATGGCCAACAAGCACATGAAGAAACATTCAAAATCCCTAGCTCTAAGAGAGATGCAAATTAAAACTATGAGATACCATCTCACCCCAGTCAGAATAGCAAAATATAACAGAACAGCAAGCAACAAATGCTGGAGAAGTTGTAGAGAAACTGGAACTCTTATTCACTGTTGGTGGGAGTGTAAAATGGTGCAACCATGCGCTTTCTCAAAAAGTTACAAATAGAGATAGCATTTGACCCAGCAATTCCACTACTGGGAATATACCCCAAAGAGACCATAACTGACATCCAAGCAGATATATGCACACCCATCCATGTTTATTGCGGCTTTGTTCACAATAGCAAGGAGTTGGAAACAGCCTAAGTGCCCATCAACAAACGAATGGATAGAGAAGCTGTGGTATATTCACACAATGGAATACTATGCTTCATTGAAAAACAAGGAACTCATGCAATATTATTCAAAATGGGTGACCCTGGAGGACATTATGCTGAGTGAAATATCTCAGTCACAAAAAGACAAATACTGTATGGTGCCACTGTTGTAGAATGACGCTGACATAAATGTTCTGTTCACTCTGAAAGCCTTCTTCCATTTGTGAAGGATGGATTGGAAACTTGTGTCTCATCTGTGCTTTCTATGATATTAACACTGATTTTATGTTGTGGTCACCAAAGACACCCAGGTGAGCCATTTGTGAGGTGTAAAGTCTTCCCAAAGGAATGTTCTAGAGATTGGTCAGGTGGGAGAAGCAGTGGGTAGAGAAGGAAGTGGAGAAATGCAATCTGTCCTTGTCAGCCCCTTCCCCGGACACAGGGATAATTTATATTTTTTTATATTTGCTAAATTATAAAAATTTAGCAAAAGGGTCTCACATACGAGCAAGGGCACATGGAGTCTTTGCATGTGGAAAGTGTGGGAGAAAAAAATCCAACTACCCGTAGTAAATGTGCATGAGGGAAGGCATATTACTAGCCTAATGCTAGGGTAGCACAAGACAGCGCAGAGTTCAGTTCTGTGGTTCACAGGGTTGCTATGAGTTGTAGGTGACTCAGTGGTGCCTAACAACACAAGCACGTTAAATAATCCTGGAGCTCATAGGTCAGAAAATGAACTTCAGTCTGCTGTGATGTCTGTCCCAGACCTCTTCCCTGCTTGAGCTGCAGAATCTCCAGGGCTGAGCCAGTGAGAACTCAGATTCTTGTCCTCTAGGATGACAGCCCTAGCTGCTAGAAGCCCGGGCCCTGTCCTACCGCCTCCATCATTCCACTCCAAATCTCCACCATTCTGTCCTATACGCCTGTGGTCCCACTGTGGTATCACTCACCAGTGCCAGAGTCTAACCCGAGTTCTCCCTCCACGGTGTCTCTCGAGCCCCACGGGAATGGCTGCTCCTCCTGCTTGATCCATGACAGAATATCATGTGCTGAGAGCAGAGACTCTGTTGTCAGGAGAAAGGCAGCCTCAGCTGGTATTCTGTTCAAACTCATCCAAGGTCTGAAGACCAGTTCACACACACACAGTGGTCACCACCTCAGAGGGCAGAACTGGGGCAAGTCTGGGACCTGCCTCTCCTTTCCTGGCAAAACTATTTACAGGTCTTGCCTGGTGCACAAGCATTTCAACAGGGTCCAGAGAACAGAGGCTAGAACCCAGGTCTTGACCCCTAGAGGACCCCACGGGCTGGGCCAGTCAGAGGAAACTGGCCTTGAGGCACAGGCTTTTAAAATGTGCAAAGGAGAAAAAAAAAACCGTGCGAAGGCAGAAGCAGGGGCTCAGGGCACCTGTCAGAGCTTCAAGTTCACCCCAGTACTCTCCACCAGGAAGCCCCTCTCTCCCTTCCATTCCCTTTGTGAAAAGTCACAAAGTTGACAAATCCAGGGTTTTGTTTCTGACCTCCTCATACTGGCTCTGGCACTCACCACCAAACCAGATGCTCAAACACAAAAAACCACGTATGGGGCATGGGAGCTCGGGGCTCGGGAATCCAGAGCATGGGACTTTGGGGCATGGGACCCAGGGCATGAGACCTTGGGGCACAGAACCTAGCCTGCTCTTTTAGCATCCTGTCATCCCTGGAAGCTCCCTATGTTTCTATTTTGTAGTCATACAGGAGAAATTTCAGGAAATTTAAGTTCATTTATTTCTGATAGAATTTGTCATTTGCTTTTCTTGTCCAACACTGAAAGCAATATGACTGTCAGTGAAGCTGACACACAATATATTACCAGTTTAATGATCCCTTTTGAAAAGTCCTTTCTGTTTTACTAGTGCTTTATTCTCCAGATCTGCTCCCTCCCCACCCCTTGCCCTGATAATTAAGGGTAATATTGTATTCCATTCATTTTTGGCTTTTCTTGACTTTTGATCAAAAGCAACTTACACAACAGTTTCCCACCAGCTGAGGATGCTGGCTGAGGTGCTGGTCGTATTCCACCTTCCTCTCACCTGAATTGGGGTCTGTTGGGATATCTCTCTCCACCAAATCCTGCTGATCCCACACACACTGGTGGTCCTCCTGCTTGATCCGGGCCAGCAGGTCCTGGGCAGACAATGGGGAGTCTATCCATGGAGATAAGAACAATAAAGGCATTAGAGAAAGGAACTTGAATTGGGGCTTTGAGTAAATCTATAACTTCTTCCCCCTAAAATCTAGGCATAGATATTCCAATTAATTGGGGGTTTAGGCAGCTGGGCCCCAATTAAAGGGTTTCTGGTGACACTGTGATAGTCATTCAGCTGTAACCAAAAGGTCAGTGGCCTGACTTCAACCCACTCTCCTTTCCAAGGTAGAGAGATGAGTCAGTCTCTTTCCATAAAGATTTACAGCCTTCGAGACCCTATAGGGCACTTCTGCCTTGTCCTCCAGGATGGCCAAGTTAGAGTCAACTGGGTGGTCATGGTTTGACTGCAGTTAAAGGTATCTCTGTACCTAGAATCCTGGTAGCATGCAGAGTAACATATGGGGCTGCTAACCAGAAAGGTTTGAAAGCAGGAGTAGCATCCACTTCCTAAACAACATGCCTCCGGAAATTCTATGAACTTCGATAGTTGTAGAGGGGCTTCAGGCCTTTTGTTCACAGGGTCGCTATGAGTCATGCTTGACTTGAACGCAATCAACAACAACCATCACCAGAAAGGCGGTAGTTCAAATCCACAGTAGGAAGAGAGAGACTCATTATGAACCAGGATCAGCCTGACAGCAGAGGGCTGGTATGTGTGTTTTAAGAAGGGCCAGTGTAGGGAAGTGCGTCAGAGGAGGCGCGGGGAGGGCAGGGTGCTGTGGTCTGAGCTAGAGGGTGAAGCTGGTGGAACAGGAGGATGGGCGAGCAGTCTGAATGCCAGAATGGATAACCGTTTTGCTACAGCATTTGTAATTGCTTGTGTGCTTAGCCTCATTTCCACCATCTACATGGCTGCCTCAATTGGCACAGACTTCTGGTATGAATATCGAAGTCCCATTCAAGAAAATTCCAGTGAATTGAACAAAAGTATCTGGGATGACTTCAGTAGTGATGAGGCAGATGAAAAGACTTACAATGATGCACTGTTTCGATATAATGGCACAGTGGGATTGTGGAGACGTTGTATTACCTGGCCCCAACACACACACTGGTATAGCCCACCAGAAAGGACAGAGTCTTTTGATGTGGTCACAAAATGTATCAGTTTCATACTAAATGAGCAGTTCATGGAGAAATTTGTTGATCCTGGAAACCACAATACTGGGATTGATCTTCTTCGGACCTATCTTTGGCGTTGCCAGTTCCTTTTACCTTTCGTTAGTCTGGGTTTGATGTGCTTTGGGGCTTTGATTGGACTTTGTGCTTGCATCTGCCGAAGCTTATATCCCACCATTGCCACAGGTGTTCTCCATCTCCTTGCAGGTCTTTGTACTCTAGGCTCAGTATGTTATGTTGCTGGAATTGAACTGCTCCACCAGAAACTAGATCTGCCTGAGAATGTTTCAGGTGAATTTGGATGGTCCTTTTGCCTTGCTTGTGTCTCTGCTCCCCTGCAGTTCATGGTTTCTGCCCTCTTCATCTGGGCAGCTCACACCAACCGGAAAGAATATACCTTGATGAAGGCATATCGTGTGGCATGATCAGGAGGCAGCTTATTCCACAATTGCCAGTTTTATTATCTTTTAGATAATACTTTCCTTGCCTCTCTCCCATTTGTTTTTTTTTCTGAACATTTTATCCTGAAAATCCATTATATTTATATAAAAGTACACATAAACACACATGCAGGCATATATACATATAAACACATACATACAGCTATTTTTAATAATATTATATCACTGATTCAAGAATCCTGTCTTTCAAACCAATTTTAGCTTCACTCTAGAGAAAAAAAAATGGGTAGAGAGTTGGCACACATTTGTGAAAGAAACTTGTTAGTGGGAACCTGACCAAAATAAAGTTTTGCTAATGTCTGTTGGACTTTTTAGTCAAGGTAAAATATACCTGTTTAAGTGGAGACTCTAGATTTTTGGAAAATTTCTTATTTTTGGTATTATGCTCACTACAAAAGTGGACAGAAGTATTAGTGCTATTTTCACCCATATAAGCTATACAGAGAAATTACATAAGATTCCTCTAAAAATTGACATACAGCTTCATTTGATGTGAAATATGGCAGCTCTTTATATCTACACTGTGTCTGTCTACCAACAAAAAGTGAACAATACAGGGTTTTCTTCAAGTTTTCACTTGATAACTGATTCCGGTTCATTCAGATCAAGAGGGTTAATCTTTTATTGTTTTTAATTTTAACTCTTAATGACGTCAGTAGGATCTTTAAAATCACCAAACCATTTTAGAGTTCTTTTCTGTGCCTCTTTGCACATATTTATTAAAAGAAAGCGGCTTTATATTCTAATATTACATTGGGGTCACAGAGTAAAATCCCATACCTGTTAACCTGTTCTAGCTAACTACCATAGAGATGGTTCCACCATAATGATGCCCCACAGCTAGGAAAACCACCACAAGATCTAAAGCTTTGTCTGAATGTTAACCTCCAATTAAGGTCTTTATTTCTTGTGGTAAATGATGTGCCTTTCCTTGCCTAAATCCCTTCTTGGTGTATCGCAACATTATGTAATGTGTTCTGATTCAGTCATTTTTTTTACAAATATGTCTATAAACACTGAAAGTAAAAAAATCTTATTTATTTATTCCATTAATATAGCACTTGGAAGATTTAAAAAAAAACGTAACTTAGTAATTTCTTACCATATCCTAAATTTGTCTTTTAAAAAAAAATAAAGTTTGAGAAGCTACTAAATAAAAAAAAAAAAGAAGAAGAAGAAGGGCCAGTGTGCAGTAGGTTACGTGCGTGACTGATAACAGAGAGACCAGGGTTTCTTTTTTTTTAAACTTTATTTTATTATTTTTTTTGTGTGCGTGTACCGTCAAATCAGATCTGACTGGTACAGGAGGGGATTGTCCCTCCTGCCCCGACAGAGCATCTGGTGGATTTGAACCATGCGCCTCTGGGATTATAGTTGCAGCTCCTTGCCACTAGGCCACCAGAGCTCCCCTAAGACCAGGGTTTCAAATCCGCTAACTGCTGTGAGAGAAGAGGCATCATCTCCTTCAGGAAAGACTTACCCCATACAGAGTCACCGTGAGTCAGAGTGGACTTGACAGCTGTGGCTGGGCTACAGATGGAGTCCCTCCCTGGGTGGTGGCTACTACTGGGAAGGCTGCAAATTCTAGTCCACAGAGTCATGTGTCAAAAGAAAAGCCTAGGTACCGACTTCCGACACCAACATGAGAACTCCCAGGCCACGGTTCTTCTGGGGCAACCAGAGGGCAGCTGAGCCAGGGCTGACCCCATGCCACCAACTCAACGGCCATGACCACAGCTGCTGGACAAGGAGATGCTTTGGAATCAGGAGCCTCAGGGGCCCTCATCCTGACACCGTTCCTCTCTGGCCTCTGGGATCCTACAGGAGGGGTTTTCCAGGAAGCCCTTCAGTGTGTTCACCTTAGCAGGAAATTTTCCAAGATGACTCATTTTTTCTTCCTTCTGGAGACTGGGAGGCTGCCTTTTTATTATTCAGTCTTTTATCTCCGAGTTCCTCTCAGAAAATGGCAGTGTGGTAGGATTTCGAGGCCCAAATTCAGGAGCAGCTTTCTCTGAGACCTTTGTCACTGTAGGTGAGGCTGCTGGGGTTGGGAAGATGCCCCATCTGGGAACAAGTACTGAACCATGTGACATCTCAGGTCACAAGGCACTCACACACAGCCAAAGTCCAGCTTTTTCAGGAGACTCTGGCCCACAGGCTGACCAGGCACACAGATGCTGTTCAGCCAGGCAATGTGCCCTCCACAGACTCATACAATAGCTCTTCTGTGAGGGACTGTACCTTCTACAGACATGTAAATGCTGCTCCATGAGGAGATGGTTCCACCACCGACCTGTGAACACTGCTCTGAGGAGATGCACCCCCCACCGACCTGAGAACACTGCTCTGTGAGGAGACGAACCCCCCACAGACATTTGAACATTGTTGTACAAGACAATGTACCTTCCACAGACACACAAATGTTGCTCTAGGAGAGAAATGCCCTCTGCAAACATCTGAACACTGCTCTGTGAGGAGACGAACCCCCCACAGACATTTGAACATTGTTGTACAAGACAATGTACCTTCCACAGACACACAAATGTTGCTCTAGGAGAGAAATGCCCTCTGCAAACATCTGAACACTGCTCTGTGAGGAGGTACACACTCCAGACACACAGGCTGCTCTATGAGGGAATATGTCCTCCACCGACATGTCAACATTGCTCTACCAGACCATGTGCCCTCCACAGGCAGCTCGTCCCCAAAGGGGTGCTTCCTCCACCGACTCACGAATGCTGGGCTGGGCTGTTCTGGCTGTACCGTCCACTGACAGGTGAATGATGGCCAACAGGAGGAGGGCTACTGAGGTGCAGCCTGTGTCCTGTCCTGACCGAGTGGGCTGGCAGAATGCTCACAGGTAGTAGTTCTGCCTGGTTTGGGGCATTAAGTCATATTCACCATAGTGGGGAGCAACCACCATCTATTTCCAAAACTTCTGCTTCATCCCCGAGACTCAGCCCACCTCCCATCATTCAGTCCCTGGTGCTCACTAATGAGCCCTGTCTACACATTTGTCAATTCAGGATAATTCATATAATATTTCCTGTTTGGAACTAGTTTTTTGACTCAGCTTGTTTTCAACATCAACCCATATTGTAGATGTTTCTCTTATGGCTAATATTCCATAGGTCACTGAATTGGAACTGACTCAGTTGACCCTCCAGTGGGTTTTAAGAGGCAGTAAATCACACAAAAGGGGATTATCAATCTTCTGAGAAGTAGTTAGTTCATTAAAACCAAACGCCCTCAAGGCGGCAACATGATCATGGCTGAATGCAAAGAATACCAGAGGATGTCTATGTGTGCTTTATCGACTATACAAAGGCATTTAATTGTGCGGATCACAACAAATTGTGTCTCACATTGACAAGAATAGGAATCTGAGAGCAGCTGATTGTGCTTGAGAAACCTGGACCTAGACCACGAAGCTAATGCCTAAACAGAGCAAGGGAACGCTGCAGGTTCAAATCAAGAAAGGAGGGTGTCATGGATATATCCTTTCTCTGTAACTTTCAACCTATGTGCTGGACAGGTCATTCAGGAGGCTGGACATTATGAAGAAGAATGCAGCATCATGATTAGAGGAAGACTCAACAACTTGCGTTATGCAGATGACACAATCTTGCTCGTTGAAGACCAAGGAGGACTTGAAGCGTAGGCTTAAGAAAGTCAAGTACCGTTGCCTTCAATATGGATTGCATCTGAACATCAAGAAAATAAAGCTCCTCACCACAGGCCAATAGGCAACATCATGAAAGATGTAGAAAAGACTGAGGTCAACATTGTCATCTTGTTCCCCAGTCATTTGGATCCACAATCAACACGCTTGGCACCAGCAGTCAAGAAGTAAAAAGACAACTTGCACTGGAGAGATCTATTGTCAGGGACCTCTCCAGGGTGCTAAAGAGCAACAATGTCAGTTTAGACATTAAGGTGCGCCTCATCCAGGCCATGGTCCTCTCAATTGCTTAATATACATCTGAGAGCTGAACAATGAATAAGGATGGCTGAAAAAGAATCAATTACTGAGTTGTGGTGCTGGAAAAGAGTCATGAAGAAGAGTCCCACAGACTGCCAACAAAACCAACAGGTCTGTCCTGGAATAAACCAGGCTGCTCTTTGAAGGTAAGGGTTTGAGGCTCAGTCTCACACACTTTGGGCGTATGTCAGGAGGAATCAGTCCTTGGATAGGACATCATGCTTGGAATGGGAGCGGGTCGGCACAGGAGAGGAAGACCAGGATGAGACGAACTGATACAGTGACTGTGGCAATGGGATGAGGTGTGTCCGAGATGGTGAGGCTGGCCCAGGATAGGGCAAAGTTCAGAGCCATGGTTCATTGGTTTGCTATGAGTTGTAACAGACTAGATGGCACATAACAACAATAACAAGCACTACTAGGGAGCGCTGCTGGCTTAGTGGTAAGTAACTGCACTGCCAATGAAGAGTTAGATGGTTCAGATCCACCAGTTGCTCCATGGAAGAAAGAATTTCTCCTCCTGTGAAATTAACTGCCTCTGAAAACCCACTGGAGGGGAAGCTATAGGTCAATCCTGACTTGACGGTACACAATAAGAACATTCTATGAACCACATTGTTTATCCATGCATCTGTTGATAGACACTTGGGTTCTTTCTACATTTTACCTATCATGACAAGTGCAACAATGAACATTGGTGGACAGATTTCTGTGTGAATCCTTGCTTTAAAAACTCGAGTCCAAACCGAGGACATGATTTTTTTAAAGGGAAGGGGGACAGTCACCAGGAAGAGAAGAAGCAGCGTGAGGGAGGTAACTCATAAGGACTGAGCTGTCTCCCAGTCTGCCTGCTAGCTCTCCCTCAGCCGGGCACATATGACACACAAGCTGGGGGGCCCCAGATCTCACTCACCAGCTAGGGGCTCCGTGGGGAGCTCCCTCTCCTCCACAGCCCGCTGGCCTCGAACACTCAGAGTCTCTTCACGCTTCACCTGAGAGGACGCGTCCTGTGTGGGCAGCAGGGGCTCTGTTCCTAGGGACAAAAAGTTACAGCTCTCAGCCGTGTTTTTCCAAATGACCATCATCAGGATGTTCTCAGGGTCTGGGCTGAAAAAACAGCAGTCACTGAGAATGGCCACACCACCAACCAGGAGAGGACAGAGGTGTCAGGTGTGTCCCAGCAGAAGGCAGAAGTGTCGGGTCTGACCTGGAGGAGGACAGATGTCTGAGTCTCAGCTGGAGAGAACAGAGGTGCTATGTCTACCAGGAGAGGAGAGAGGTGGTGGATCTGGTTGGGAGGGACAGAGGTATTAGACAGCCATTGGCAGCTTTGGCGGAGCCAAGAAGCAGAAGGTGCTGGGAGCAGAAAGGTTCAACATCCAAGAAAGGAGATTCTGAGAGTAACTGATGCTGTGTTAGGACTCGGTTATAAGTTTGTCTCTGAGTGGGAGTCAGAGATATCTGATCTTGCCTGAAATTTACATGTTTGACTAGGTAAGAGATACAACAATGGCCTGTTCACAGGATGGTACACACCATCCGTATCCACAAATCTCCTACCCAAACCCTGAGATATGACAAGCCGGCCGATGGGGCCACGCGGGAGAAATTCCAACAGCAGGAGCTAGCACTGGAGGACAAACCTGAGGACACGGACTCCGGCTCCAGCTTAGAGGACAGCCACTGAGTCCCCCGGCTCCTCTGTACCTAAAGTCCCTGTTCTTTCCAAAGCACAGTGGTGACGTGCCGGCTGACAGGGAGCTGAGTGCTCTAACCTAAGCAGCTCCGCATACTACTAGTTCTGCAGCCACCACTGCGGGACAGACATATGCAGTGCTGGGTCTAAACTGGGAAGGAGGGGTTGGCCCCAAACGCCCAGAGATCAGACGAAGGAATGAGGAATGCTGCTAACAGCAGTTTGGGGATTCCTTTCAGGGTGATGGAAATGTTGGGAAACTAGGCTGAGCCACTGAATGAGTCATCTCCTTTAACAGGTGACCTTCATGGCCCTCAATAAAAAGGCTGGGACAGAGAGAAGGTTGTCTTCACGATAAAGACAGCCACCTTCCAAGCAAAGCTTCATTTTAGAGCGATGGCCTTCACCTGGGGAGGAGGAGGAGCAGAGGGCACTGAAAGCGGCTCACAGAGACACAGGGTAAATGCAGTGAAGCACCAGCTTAGACCAGGGCCACCACGACTGCACCGTGGAGCTGGGAAAGCTTCCTGAAGCCCGAGGTGAGACAGAGGACAGCCAGAACAAGCACCCTAGCACCTTTTACCCCCACAATGGCTGGCCAAGTGCGACATCCTCAGAGGAGTAGGCTCTTTCAGGACTTAAGACTCCTTTCTGGGTGAGGAAAAGGCTGGGCTGATGAGTGGATTACCACCAACACATGGCCAGGCCAAACTACCAGGTGTTGTTGTCAAGTGTCATCAAACTGACTGCAATGCACAGTGACCAGTGAATGAAGATCAAAACTTTGCCCTGTCCACCACGGTCCTAGGCTCCGCCATGCTCATGCCCACTGCTGCACTCACTGTGTCACTCACTGCAGTGAGGGTCTTCCTTTGTCACTCAACCTTTCTGCCCCAGCATGACGCTTTTTCCTAATACTGAAGCCTCCTGGGAATATGTCTAAAGTATGTGAGATAAAGCCTTACTGCCTTTGTCTCCAGAGTAAACCTGCCAGTGCAGACTCCTTCCTACCTCCTCTGCCACCCTCCCTGAGCTGGGCCTGGCTCTCCAGGCCGCATCAAAGTCCAGTACCTCTTACTGGAGGGCCTAAGACCTACTCCACACTTACACATGATTCCAGAGCCACAAGGCTTCAGCCCAAGACCAACACCCACCGTTGGGCCCCCAGCCCTGAAGTCCTTTCCCACAAGTGCCAGAACCACACAAGTAGGTCCAGGGAGACGTTTGCCTGAGTTCACACAGGCTGAGAGCGTAAACAGGCTGGCCTTTCCTCTCCTCATCTGCCCTCTCAATCAGGTCACCTTCAGTAGTGTCAGGACCACCTTCACGGGTGTCAGGACCTCTCCTCATCTGTCGTCCCAGTCAGGCCACTGCGGCCCCCTTTACCAGTGTCAAGACCACCTTCACGGGTGTCAGGACCACCTTCATGGGTGTCAGGACCACCTTCATGGGTGGCTGTACCTCTCCTTTCTGCCCTCCCAGTAAGGCCACCACGGCCACCTTCACCTGTGTCAGGATCCATGGGGATGTCTCTTTCTTCAGGGTTGCGCTGCTCCCATACACACGGCTCCTCCCTTGTATCACGTTGGGGCACAGCATCTGGCTTGGGGCCCGAGTTCTCCCCATCTGCAACAAGCCAGGGGAAAGGAAAGACTGAGTAGAGTTTACCAAAGAGTCCAGATCAAGAGTGACGGCTGAGCTCTACCTCGCCTACTTCTCACCTCCAGGTGGTCACCGTTACATGAGCATGTCAGCCTTAAAACAAGCCAACACATCTCAGATGACACCGGAGAAAGAGTCAGCGCCTGGCACCACGGGCAGAGCTAGCAGGGGTGGTGGGCTCGGGTGGTGAGGCACGCGTGATAGTGCCTGGCCCAAGAGTTGTGTCATCTTGAGTTCTAAGCAAACAGCCCTGCTGCAGGGCTGCTCTTCCCATCCCGTCATAAGTCCTGTCTCCCTGGAACTAAGGACAAGCAATCTCTTGAGGTTTTCTTCAGCTTAAACATGAGGCTGCCCTTCCCAGTGGTTTGAGCTTCGGCTACAAGCATTTCACAGTCTCGGGGCACGTGAGCTCGGTGGAGGAGGGCCTTACCCAGTGACACCAGGGTTTTGTAGTTCTCCTTGACCAGGTTGTGGTAAAGCTCCTTCTGCCACCCATCAAGGCTCTTCCATTCTTCCTCCGAGAAGTAGACAGCAATGTCCACGAAGGTCACTGGGACCTGGACAGAAAAAAATGGGCTGCAGCAAGTCCTGCACAGCCACTTCTCCCTGTGCCCACTGCTGCAAACCCTGGCCTGGCAGGTCCACTTCAGCCAAGTCTGTCCATGCCTCTCTGGAGGTCACTGAGCTTACCCAGACACTTATGGATGCTGTCTTTGCTGGAGGGGCACGTTTCACCAAACCCTGTCCTGCTTTGTGACCCGACATGAGTTAAAGGGGACCGGGAGGTGAAGCTGCACTCAGTGTCAGCTGTGAGCACGGGGTGTCTGTGTGTGAGGTTTTCAGAGTGTTGTGGTCAGCCAAGACCAGCAATCCTGTTGGGGCCAGGCCCCCTCTGGGTGCACAATGACACTTCACTGGACTATGTGACCTCCACAACCATGAGGTGAAAGCCTAGGCTGGTTTGCTCACGCTGCATCCAAAGCCTCTGGAAAAACACCACAGGAGCCACACGCAGCTACGGGACTTGTTGAGGTCCTACCACAGCCCAAGCCTTTGATGATTCCTGGCATGAAGGTCTATCCTTTCCATCTGACAAGGGCTGTCCCCTAAACTGCTGCCAGCCAATCACCAGCAAGGCCTCGTTTTGGAAGGACAGCGCAAAGGGGCTCACTTGCAGGCGCTGGCCTCTCACCATGACATCCTGAGCACCTGCACCTTCAGCCCTGAGCAGTGAGCTCGGCTGACCGTCCTGCTGCCAGCCTTCTCCACTCCAGGGCCCTCATCTGTGATGGCAGAAGAGCTCTGCCGGGAACTTTGACCTGGGTGGGGAGATGGCCCTGGCCTCACTGAAGGATACCTCGTGGCCCTCCTCTAGAAGCAAAACAAGGACTTGCAGCATGCTGGAGTATCCCAGCTCCCAGGGAAGCCCCCAGCTGGGGGATTGTCCAGCCACATCATTAGTTTCTATCCTGCTGCTAGAGAGAATTCCCAAAGCAAGGTGGCCACACCTCCACCAACCCATCTCACCTCTTCAGAAGCTTCTTCACCCCTAGGGACACCCATGCTAATCCCTGGCTGCTGCCAGCAGATACCTCTCCCCTCTTGTCATTACCTGTTTCAGGAAGAATTCCAGCCCCCTCCTGCTGGCCTAGGACTCTGACCTGTGGCCCTCACTTCTCTCCACCAGCTGCTGGGCAAGGCTCTCGAGCCACCTTTCTCCTTCTCAGCTTCAGCTTCTCCTCTCCGCTGCTCCTGGCCTTCATCCTCTCCCATCATGGAGGCATCCCAAGGGCCAACCAGAGCATTACGTGGCTCCTTCACAGTCCACAAGCATTCAGTGCTCACGAACTGCGGGTGCACCTTCCACACTGGAACCTCACACTCGATGGTCCTCAACAATGACCTCTGTGTCAGCTCTTCACCTCGCTGACCTGCTGAAAGGGTCTCTGGGGCTGCTGGCCTTGATCCCAGAGTAACCTGTACCCACCACAACCTGTCCCAAAGTCTCTCCTGCACACTCCCCTCCCCCAGGCCAAGGCTCTGCCTGGCTCTTTCCAGAGGCCTCCGCGTTGATCCTATTCTCCTCATGACTTCAGGCCTCTGCACAGAAAACACTCCCTGCCACGGCTGCCTTTCAACAACCTTCTAATCAGGTCCATTGGATCACCTTTCAAGCACCTCATACTAAGAGGATCATCTTCACCCAAACACTGGCCACTCCACCTCACTTCCCCACTTCCGTGAAGGAGCAGAATCTGGGATGTGTCCTTGCAGTGGTAAATACACCTCACTTCTTGCAGCTTCATGGCATATCTTCTGATAGTTACTGCACACTGTGAAGCAGCAGATGTCTGATATGGTCCCAGGCTGCAGGGAGCCCATGTCTAGTTGGACAGAAAGGAGTGCCCATGTGCTATGCAGGAGTCCAAGAACAGGCACAACATACTCCAAGAGAAAAAGGACCAAAAAGAGAATATCCTTCCTGGGATCTGACAGCGAACAAGAAGGCACCAAGGCCACTAAAGAGCTTACTGTGGATTATAAGTGCTGGAAACAATTCTGATTAATATTCTCATGTTAATTCAACACCTTTATGATAATTGAAAATGTGTCCCTAGTGGTAAGGAGCTGCAACTACAATCCCAGAGGCGCATGGTTCGAATCCACCAGACGCTCTACTGGAGAAGGAGGGACAATCTCCTCCTGTACCAGTCAGATCTGATTTGACGGTACACTCACACAAAAATAATAAAAAATAAACATTTTTTAAAAAAAAGAAAATGTGTCTACACCTCTTAGGGAGCCCCCTCAGAAGGTGAGCCCTACTCCTCCTTCCATCAAGTGTGGGTAGGGCTTAGTGACCACTTCTAATAAGTACATAAAATCAACAGTGTGCCTCTTCTGAAGTTAGCTCACAAAGACATGGCTTCCATCCTGGTCTCTGTCTGGAGGAAGCAAGCTGATTTCTGAGGACACTCAAACAGCCCCATCACTAGCAGGAGGCCCAGAGGCCCTCTGCCAACAACCAATGAGGAACTAATGTCCCCTGCCAACAGCCACTGAGGGCTGAGAGCTCCAGCCAACACCAGTGAAAAACTGAGGTCTTTAGTCAAGAGTCAAAGGAGTGCGCCCTCTTGGAAGTGGAGCCCCTAGCCGCAGCCAATAGCTTAAATATAATTATATGAAAGATTCTGAGAAACTAGCTAAGCTGCTCTCAAATTCCTGAACCACAGAAACTGTGAGATGATAAATACTGATGGTTTTAGCCTGCTGAGTTTTACATATGAAAGCTGGACAATGAGTAAGAAAGCCTAAAGAAAAACTGATGACTTTGAAATTACAGTGCTGGTAAAAAATACTAAATATGCCATGACTACCAGGAGAACAATTATATCTCTTTTCAAAGAAATACTCCTTCGAGGAAATGACGGCAGGACTCCGTCTTACATCCTTTGGACCAAGGCCTGGAGAAGAGCCCTCTGCACTGTCTCATTCCACACACAATTCTATGGGTCACCATCACAGCCTGACTCAACAACACTTAACAACAACCACCACCATGCAACTGCAGTAAAACGGCCTACTGAGAATGGATTGGTCAATTTGTGCTCCAGGCAGGAGAGCCCTAACTTGAAATGGATAAGGAGTTAGCTTATACACCCCACAGACACTGGAAGACAGAAAAAAATGAAAGTAGAATAGAGAGCCAAGAAACAGAAAGCAGGTAAGGAATCTCGCAAAAGAGCTGTAACATGGGTCACGGGCTGTAACACTGACACCAGAGGAGGCCTGGAAGAGATGCTGCAGCAGCGTCAGGGGCAGGAGCCTGTTGCTAGAAATGCCACTAAGAGAGATGAACACAACCTTTAGACTTGCCATGAGCTGGTGGTCCAGGTAGCAGTGTGCAGGCTGAGAGCCGAGAGGCTGAACACAGAGAGGACTGTCCTCAGGGAGTCAGGAGGAAGCCTGTCTTGAAGGGGCCTGTCCTGAGGAGGCTGAGAAAAACCTGAACTAAGGGGACCAGGAAGAGACCGGTCTTAAGGTGACAGAGAAGAGGTCTGCTGAGAAGAAGGTCCTGCTTGCTTGACCACAAGGCGCTGAGCACTGTCCGGCACTGAAAAGAGGCAGGCATGCTCTCCTCCTCCAGGATCTTCCAGGCCTATACTCTTCCTGGTCTCAATACGATCTTAAATTGCAGCCTGTTAATCGTGATCCCTGTACTCTCTTACAGCAATGAACCACTTAACATATATGTATTCTGTTGAGTTCTCTGTGGCCACTGTAACAGATTACCGAGCACAAACGAGAAGTAGAAAGTGAGGACACCAAGTCAAAAAAGGAGTAATAGTGAAATTGAACAGGATGGGAGAGGTGGCTGCAGAGGTAAGGACTGGACACTGAGCTGGGTGATTCCCTGGAGGCTGAGGTCAGCTTTCAGTGCACTCATGCAAGAATACAAATGCTATGGGCCATCTCTGAAAGGAGATGGTTAGACAGCTGGGGAGGCCCTGAGGTCACAGGGCAGCCCTGATAGCAGTGGAGTACGCTCCAGCTGGGCCTCAGAAACAATCAGAGAGAAGGGCTGACGAGATTAGGGCTCAGCAGGCCCACACGCCACCCTGGTCTGGGGATAGCTACATACCTTGGGCACCTCGCCCTTGCTGCCCGGGGGCAGCCGCAGGACCCAGAAGTTCCTGTTGCGGAGCAGGTTCTCCATGTTCTCCAGCCGCCGCTGCAGCAGCCCGTACTCCTGCAGCAGTGTCCCCAGCACAGCCCACTTGCTCTCCATGTGGTTCCCAAACTCCACGGCCGTCTTCTCACAGTCAGCCAGCTTCTTCTCGGCAGTCCCTGTGCGCCCCTCCAGGTTCATCAGCTGGCTGGCTTGGGCATCCACTTTCCTCTCCACAGCCTGGATGGCGGCCACCACTGTCCAGAGAGAGATCTCTGCTGTGGGCAGCTGGGGCTCACGCATCACTCGGTCAGGGAAGACGGGAGCCCGGTCTGGGAAGGGTGGAAACTGGAAAGGTACTGGCCGCCGTGTGTCCATGTCCCACTCCTGAGCCTGTCAGAAGAAGGACAGAGTCGTCGCCATGTGCAATGTGGCTGAGCAGGAGGATGGCCTGGGCACAGACAAACAGGCAAGTACCACAGGCCTGCCATTCCTGCAAACCTTGTGGTGACTGGTGCCAGCCTCGTTCCCTGCCACACCGAGCATCCACCGCCCTCCTCCTGCCCTGCCTGCAGGCCCAGCCCAGCCACTGTACCACTTTGCAGGCCCCAGACTGCAATCTTCACCCAGAACAGCGTAGCCACTTTAAGAAGTTCTTGTTCAAATCCACCAGATGCTCTGCTGGAGAAGGAGGGGCAATCTCCTCCTGTACCAGGGCGATCCGATTTGACAGTACACACAAAAAATAATAAAATAAAATTTTTTTTAAAAAAAGAATGGTTCTTTTCCTCAAAGGCTGGACTGAACGATAAGCTCTCTGTGCCTCCGGTTAGTTTTCCTGGCATTGTCTGCAAGATGGTTACCTGCTCTGATCTTCCCAGCGACCTGGGAGCCTGTCCAGGCAGGAATGAGCATCTCTACCTCCAGATGAAGGCGCTGGGGCCCTGGGCAGTGGCAAGCCCTCTGAAATACCATCATGTACAAGGTGCCGCAAGGGACCCAAAGCATCTCAGGTCAGTGCCACTGTGATGCCCACTGCGCAGGAAAAGGAGAAACCTGGACCTAGTAGGGGTTCCATTTTCCCAAAGGAACATTTCACAACTTACTGCTATAAAGTAGCTATTGGCTCATCGGGTCCCCCCATAGGTTTCTGAGATGGTTCAGAAACTGCACTGGGAACAGCCCGCAGCTAGGACATGAGGCCTGATAGCCCAGAAGGAGCCTGAGGGCACGTGCAGTGGAGGCCATACAGTGCTGGCACTGGATGACGACCAGCGCGACCTCCTGTCCTAGAGACCTCTGTGGTGGCACACCCCCACCCTCATCCTCAGATTCCTGGGAATGACCGTGAAGGAGAGGAGGGCAGAGCCCTGAGGACCGCAGACCACAGTAAGCCCATCAGAGCTATCACGGGTCTAAGAGACGTGGTGGTAGTGGGAGTTGTCAAGTCTGGGGCCAGCCTACTTCCAAGGGCCACTGGGGCCAGCCGACCAGCTGTCTGATGGGCCAGTGCCGGTAGAAGATTTCTACTCAGTTTCATTCCGTACAGGACTCTAAGGTGCCTGTACAGCCAGAGAGGCGGACCAGAATGACAATGACACAAGCAACAGGGGGAAAGTCGGGGTGCAGTCCTCCCAGAGCCCCACCAGCAGAGGGCAGGTCGGAGTGCAGACCTTCCCAGAGCCCCGCCAGCAGAGGGCAGGTTGGGGTGCAGACCTTCCCAGAGCCCCGCCAGCAGAGGGCAGGTTGGGGTGCAGACCTTCCCAGAGCCCCGCCAGCAGAGGGCAGCGCTCGGCCCAGCGGACGGCCAGCAGGGGAAGGTTCTGTGTGAGCAGAGTCAGGGAGAGGGGCCAGCCTTGCCCCCACCTCACAGGGAGCTGGTTAAGGGTGAGGTTGGCTAATCTGAGATGGAGACACTGCTCAGCAAGGACACGTCCACCAACCACCAACAGAGGCTGAGGCCCTGGCCCCGGGCTCCAGGCCCGACCCCTGTGGTCTCACGGGCTTGAGAGCAACAGCACTGAATCTCGCAGGACCCTCAGCCGCAGCCCTGCGGGGGTGTCCCTCGCACTCCACAGCCTGCGGGCACCAGAGCATGCGCACACAGGCGCACAAATATTCCTCCACGTGCATGCACGCGCACACTGGTGCATGCGCACACTCACGTGCACAAGGTGCACACGCGCGCTCACCAGCACACGCGCGCGCCCGGCCCACTCTCCACGCGCCTCTCCCGGCCCAGCGCGAGGCCTGGCTTGGGGGCCGCCCTGGAGTGGCCGCCTGCACGCCCGCGCGGCCCGTGGATCCTGGCTTTCGGGGGCGGTGGGGCCGGGGGTGCGTGGCCGCGCAGGGCTCCACGCGGAGCTCACCTGCCTCGGGTTCGCGCGGCCCCTGCGCCGGCCAGCCTGGGCCCCAGGGCCCAAGTCGGCGTGACCAGAGGCTGGCCAGGCTCTCTGCTGCCCGGCGCTGCCCGGCGCTGTCCGCACCCGGGCCCGCGTGCAGCCCACGCCCCACACCCAGCCTGCGTGCATCCAGAACCCCGCACCCCACGCCCGCGGGGCGCGGGCGGCCGCGGCCCACCTGCATGGGGGGCATCCCCTCGGCCATGTCCGCGCGCAGCGCCGACTCGGGCGGGCACACCTCCTCCGGGGGCAGCGCCTGCGCCCAGCTCCAGCCACCGCCGTCCAACCCCAGGCCCTGGATGCCCAGCTGCTGCGGCTGCGGCCGTGTTGACACAAACTGCATCCTGGGAGCGCGGTTCCCCTCGCGGCCGGCGGAGAAGAAGGAGGTTCCCGGGCGCCGTCCCCGCGCCAGCCCGGACAGCTCCATCTACAGCCCGAAGGAGCGAACTGCCCTCGGCGCCCGCCCACCGCCGCCGCCGGCCACGAGGTCCCGCCGCCGGGTCGGGCTGCGCGGGGTCGGGCGGCGCCGGGGTCGGGCCGCCGCGGGTGGAGGGAGAGCAAATCTGTCCTCACGGAACTCCTTCCTGTTTCCTCCTGCCCATTCCTGTGCTTCCCAGGCTCGGGACAGCAACTGGGCCCGAAGTCTCCTGTGTCCCGTGTCCGAAGAGACGCGGGAAGGGCCCCCTCGTGTACCCCACAGGTGTCACCACGTGCCTGCTACGGCCAGCGCTACTGAGGCAGAGGCGGCCTTCCATTCCAGTTACCACTTAACTTAGCATCCGAGCCTCCCTCGGTGCCCTCGTCTTCAGACAGAAAGGCAGAGGGCAGGGCCTGGCATGCAGGAGGCACTCTGCTGGGAGCCCTAGTGACTGTGCAAGGGCACATCCTCTGCATCCTCGTTTTCTGTGTGAACCAACTTCTAATTTCCCTTCAAGACAGACAACCACTTCAGAGCTGCCCAGGACAGCGCCAGTAGTTCAGTGCACTCAGGACACCGAGCCAAACCCTCCAAGGACCACTGGAGGCCTCACTCTCAGTTCACTGTCCACGAGCTTCCAGGTCAAGGCAGTGCTCCCAGCGGGCACTTCCTCTCCCTGAGTGCAAATAACACCTCTGTCCTGTGTGATGAGAGGAAGGTGACACAGTGCATAGCAGGTGTTGTTAAGTGTGATTGAGTCATAGACAACCTAAGAATGAAAGGCCTGAGCACTGTTCTAGAGTTTCTGGAGGCAAGCCATTTCAGAAGGGGATGCCACTCCTGCTTCCAAGCTTGTTTTAATCAGGAGCTCCACCACACACTATCCACCATGGGTATCTATTATCGCATTTGACACATCAGTGTCACAGTGTTTAGTATCACAGCAACCACGGGTTACCGCTGTACAGCAATGCACAGACCAGTTCTATACCACTTACAAGAATGTTCGACAAAAAACAATTTAAACCAGGCCTAAGGGCTGCAGATTAAAATCACCCACCTTGGGTTTGGTAGCATAACTTTCTGTCCACTAGGCCAACGTAGCTCTATGTTGTCGTTATTGTTGTCAAGTGCCGTCGAGCTGTTGACGACTCATAGTGACCCTATGAACGAAAGACCTGAGCACTGTTCATAGAGTTTCTGGAGGCAAGCCATTTTGGAAGTGGACGCCACTCCTGCTTCCATGCTTGTTTTAATCAGGAGCTCCACCACACACTGTCCACCATGGGTAACCATTATCGCATTTGGCACATCAGTGTCATAGAATTTAGCATCTCAGCAGGTGAGGCTGCTTAAACCAAAGGCCCGAGGTTCAAATTCACCAGATGCCTCAACTGTCTCCCTCACAGTGCTTGGTGGATTTGAACTGCTGACCTTGTGGTTATCAGTTCAGCACAAAGCCATTGCACCACCAGAGCTCCTAAGTTTACTCTTCATCTATTTTGGTTAGATGGGCAGGCCATGCAGTGCTGTGCTGTTCTACGGTGTCATATGTCACAATTTGGTGGCACTTTAGACTGACACTGAAGGAGGGGCGTTCCTGGTTTCTACTCCAGTGTAATGACTTAATGACTCCCTGGTACATCCTCTCAGTCTTCTGATAATGGGTAATTGCATGAGTGGCAAAGTCAGAGTGACTGAGACAAAATGTAGTCAGGGCCTGGGACTACACAGAAAAGAGGGTGTGTTAGTAACTGCAGTGTTTGGTCTTCTCAACTTGTAAGTGTGGATTTCATGACCAACATGGTCAAAACTCACATCAAGTTCAGTGTGTTGCATAACAATACTGGTTTTCCAAATGCAGGCAAAAAGCCTTACACTGTGGACCAGTTAGGTCTGAGCCGGCGCCTCTGTGCTTCAGCACGCTGCTTTCACGCCTCTCATCTCCCAGCAAAGGCAGCTAGGAAGGTCACGGCACAGGTACGAAGCCCTGCTGCCACTTTCTGCTCACCAACAGCCTGCCAGCCCTGGACACACCAAGTCTCTGAGCAGCAGGTGTGGTGCAGCTGGCGTGGGCACGACTGAGGCAGACGCTGCTCCTCCATCACTACCTCAGCCAGAACGTAACAACCTCTCTGTAGCCCTAGCTCTCCGAGTCCAGCCTCTAAAGTCAAGTAATGGCTTCTCATTGTGGATTACAAGACCCTTTGTACAGTCACATGGCCACCTCCAGTCCACTGCTTCCTACATGCGTGTTTTCCAGTTTCCCCCTGCTCTCCTGGTCAGCCTGGGTTATGAGAACCTACCCATGCACCAGGCTGTCTTATTGCTCCCATCCTGTCCCAGTCCCAAAGGACCAGAAAAGGGAAACAAACCCTTATATGACAATTTCTGGGGTAATGACAGAAGTGTGATGGGTTAACATTCTCCTTCACTGCTTTTTATCCTGATGAATACTTGAAGTTGCCCAGTAGATACTCTTCAGCATCTTTCCTCATGGCATCCTCACATCTATGCAAATTAGGTAAAGCTAGTATCATCCTCACTAGAGCTTTCAAAATGCAAAATGTACACTGTATAAAAAATATACACTGCATACACACTTAAAACTTTCTCAGTTTTTCTAAAAACCTGTCAGCTTGTGTTCTGGCAACAATCTGGGTGGGAATAAAACTTTTTATCATGTTAACACATCTCTTTAAGAAAGCATTCAATAGAGCTGAGCCCAAGGAGGAAGTAGACAAAGCAAGCAAGATCCGGGAAATCAAACCTTACATTCGGAACAGTTCCATCCTCCCTTGTTAGGAAGTTATGTGGTGTACCCTAAATCAAGTGCGACTGACACTGTATCCACCATCGATCCCATGCTGGCGAGCTCAATTTTCAGGACTTTCTGGTGTGTTCTGGCTCTGCCAGTAGACAAACACAGCCACATCACCTAGGCGCACAGCAAGCACTGTTTGGAACAGTAGCCTGGCAACCTGGGAGCAAGGCAGTCTGTGCTCAGCTGCCTTCTTTGGGAAACAGGTAGATTCAGGAGTTAAATAACTGTAAGGAAACATTTTAATTTTCCTCATTGACATCCTCTGGTTCTATGTGAGGCTGTGGCCAGAGCTGCCGATCTGAAGAGATGCTGGAAGCAGGAAGACCACACTAGAAAGTGCCCGAGCACTTCTGCCAGTCCTCAGCAGCTTTCGTCTTCACACGAGACCATGGAGGGAGCCTTCTCTGTACTGGCAGTGTGAGATGCCACTATGCTACTGCAGCCCCTCCCAAGTAACCTACAGGCTACGTGGCCTTTCCTCCTGGCAGATGCCTAAGGCAAAACGAACTTGGGAATGGCTAAGAACATGTGTTCTGTTTTAGGAAGAGGTGCCAGGCCAATTCCCTCAGAAGCAGAACTAAGAGCTGGTTCAGAGAGACACACACTGTCATTGTCACTGCACACAGAAACCCAAGGAAGCTGTAAGAAACAGGAGGGGACACTGTAAAGGATGGTAGGTGAAGGGCTGGGCAGGGCAAGGCAGCCACTTCATGCAGCAAAAGAACACTTTTTTTTCAGTTTCAGCCTGGTGTATATGCTGCCATAATGTCCTACCCAGGAGCCACCAGCCTGAGTATCTTTCCACGTGTGTCAACACTCCACACACATTTCCTCCAGACACCCGAGACACAGGTGTTGCCGTATTGCTCCCTAAGAGTCAGGACTGTCAGTAATGTTACTGACGCAGCCAGGATTTGAACCCAGGTCTGGCATGCAGCTGTGTGGTTACGTTCATCCTATTTACCTCCGTCCCTGGAAGGGTTCCATGTGCTCCCGTTCTCTGTGTGACCAGACTTGAAGATCTTTGGATTCTAAGAGCCTGACACCTTAAGACAAAGAACGGTCCTGTGAATAAAATGTTAAGAGTAGTAGTGGCTTTGGTGCCTAAGAACGGAAGAGACCAGTCACTGTCACCACTCACACACAACGTACATGGCGACCACAGACCTCAGCCATCACGCTTTTTACTCTTTGGTCCTGAGCAGCCCTCAGATAGATATCGAAGGTGCTTTTTATCGTATATGAAACAGAGATTGAGGGGGATGAGAGGGCCTGCCTTTGCTGCAGAGGCATCTGAGATCTCTGTTCATTTCTCAACAAAATTTTGAGCCCAGTAGCCATCTGTTGCTCCCAGAAAGCCCAGTGCTTAGGAGTTGTTGGGCATGTACAGGCCCTGAGAGAACCCTGCAGACCTATTAATATAATCAGTGCTGTGACACACCACTCTCCGGCTATGTCATTTTCTGGTACTTTCCAGGTGTTTCTGGTATCAAATCAGACCAGGACCAGTCATCCCCCACTTCGGCAAGCATACAGCTTCATCTAGTTCCTGTCTGTGGCTATTCCAATGGCACCGATGAACTCAGCAGAAGGGGGATGTGGTTATGTTCAACGCCTGCTTGGATCCACTGGACACTCCAACGCTCACAAGGACATGGTCCCAGTTGTGACCAAGCAGACTGCTCAGTGAAGAGGCAGGACTGAAGCCCAAGTCCAGGTTCTTCCTTCCTATCTCTTATGTTCTTCAAAACCCATCCTCAGGTTTATCTTCAACTGGAGTTAAAACCTCTTCTCAGGTCTCTGACAGGTCAAGAATTCTTCACGATGAAGTTTTCTGTTCAGAGTTTAGCTTCTCTTTGTCACTAATCCATGCCTTTCAATTTTATTTTTTAATTACGTTTTGGGTGTGTACCGTCAAATTGGATCTGACTGATACAGGATGAGATTGCCCCTCCTTCTCCAGCAGAGCATCTGGTGGATTCAAACTGCCTACTTCTGGGATTGCAGTGCAGCTTCCTGCATGTTTTTCAATCTTAAGCAAACAAAATTCTCTCTAGAGCTGGCCTGTAATTCTGCCTGGTAGGACCTAGGGTAGGAAGAGGGCAGATCTTTCGTTAAACTCCATCACCTGTACTGGGCTGAAGACCAGGATGACACCCAGTTCCCCCTGAGACTGCTTTCATGCTCCCTTGCACTGTCCAACAGTTCTTACTACAATGCTTAGTATTTCATCTGGATTCACTTTCTGCCAAAGTCTGGGTACCTATGGGTTACAGTTCCTCCTACAATAAGCGTGCCAATCACCAGCAGTATTTTTATCTGTAGGTCTTTCTCACTGACAAACTCTGCATAAAGGAACTTTTGGTATTCTCAACATCAGTTGGTGAAGAATTCCTGATTCACAGTCTACTGACAAATGGGAACCAATACAAAGGTTTACCAGCATTTCCTTGCATTTTCCCCACTTCTGTAAAGGTGAGCCAGTCTAACCTTATGTTCCTCACGGGCCACCCATCAGGTTATATCCAAGTGCCCAGTATCAGCAGTGAGGGTCTAGATTTTGCTAGAAAGCTCTTATACACACCAAATACAGAGCTTCTGCCCTATCTTGCTTTGCTCTAGATTTCTGATCTTTTTTTGCCTCAGACTTTACATTATATGATAGCCAACTAAATCTCACACCTTTCTATGCTGCTCATGGTTTCTGGTACCATTAAATACATGTAGCAGACGCTTTAGAAATGATTATCCTGAAGAGCAAGATGTCCTGGCAGAGCCTTCCCTGAGCAGAAAGCCAGGGCAACATTTTCTCATCTTGTTACACACACACACACACACACGCGCGCGCGCTCCTCCCTTATCACGTGTCTAAATCCTTGCAGACCTAGTTTAGACAGCAACATTCAAGGGGAACAAAAGAGCGCAGGAACATCAGCCTTTCTGCTCCAAGACTTGGAGTTTCTGCTATCTCCCTCTCTTCCACTTCAGGCTTGAAGTAAAACAATAAATCACAATGATTTCAGTCACGTTTCAGCAAGAATTTTTCCACTTTGATTTTGCTGTTTTATTTGGCTTGACCTGGACAGAAGCCAGAGATACAGATTTCAGCAAAAGAAGGAATGCATCACAGGGTTATTATTTATTTCTGTTTCTAGAGGCTTTTTTTCAGCAGCCTCATCTTGCAGGAAAAAAATAATTGAGATCTGGAAAGGGAAAGGGACTCACACCCAGTCACAAAGCCTCCTCTGTAGGAGAAGGTGTAGGCTCGCTTGTCACAGGTGATCAGACGAGCCTGACAAAAGAACACATGTACCCAAGGTCACTAGAAGGAAAATAAGCAAGAATAGGCCATCCTGGTCTACACACAGACCTCAGCTCTAAGTTATCTAGAAAATTCCTCAATCTGACCTTGTTGGTGGGGCACACGGGTGGGCATCTACTCTCCGGGGCTCAAGGACATTGTGTGACCACATCACTCTTACTAGTTATGGAATGGAAGCTAAGAGTCCACCAGGGTTTTTGGAAAAAATAGTGATGCTTCAGTCAAGCTCTGTGATCTTTGCTGTAGAGAAGATGATCAGACACAAGAAATTAAAAAGCCAGCTTGCTGGCCTGGAATGATAATTTGATGTATCTAATAGAAACATGGCTGAGATACAAACTCTAGGCTCTTCCCTAAGTGGCATGCTAGTTGTTTCTCTGGTACTTCTAGCTTCTAAATCTAGAGCTTAGAACATGGATGCCAATTTCTTTATCAGGAACTTGGCAACAGAAGTTTAAGCACCAGGAGGTACCTGAAAGCTTCAGATTAAGCCATTCAAAGAACTGTTCTCCTTAAGAAGCTTTTAAAGGCAGATTTCTCACACTCAACTGTAAACAAAATCTATTAAAAGAATTAACCTCAGATACATAGGAAGGCAGTCTGTTTTAGAGAAAGGCAGCTACATAGGTATATGGACAGATGTTAGCTGGAATCAAGAGAATGTGGGCATAAGCTGCTTCCAACTGCCAGCTTACCCACAACAGAATCACAAAGACTTGTGACGCGTTCCTTCTATGATCCTCAAGCTTTCCAGGCTTCTCAGGTGCCACTCTCTACCCAGAGTTGGGACATCAGTTGTTACCCAATGACCATTATAAGCTGCCATATTTTGCATTTCAGCCTCTTTGCAACATCTTTAATGCCACCTGCTTATATCAGTCTTGGCAAAAGATGGGGTATTAGACTCCTCTCGAGGTCTCTCGAGGCTTCACAGAGCAGTGTCCCATCCTTGGTGAAGTTCCAGAATTCAGTTCTCCAGCAGGTGCACAGGACCTCAGATTGAATAGATGCCCATTCATCAAGGCTGCAGAGCTGGGGGCCTCATGGGCTTTGTGGTTACTACGAGATCAGGGAACCAAGAAATGAGAGATTCACAACCCACTCCCTCCTCCCCCTTCCCCATACCAATGATTGCCCTCTAGACCTGCAGTATTAACACTGAGGCTGGGGGGCTCGAGCTCAGGTATGAGGGGTCCAGGAGGGTCAGGCGGCTGTGCGGCTGGGTCACCATCACCTACACAGCCGCCGCTGTGGCCCGACCGTAGGTGGTCCTTAAGGGTCTGTTTGTAGCGGAAACTGCGGCCACAGTGTACACAGGGGTATGGCCGCTCGCCCGTGTGGATGCGCTGGTGCTTCATGAGGTGGTGCTTGCGGATGAAGCTCTTGCCGCAGTGCGCGCACTGGAAGGGCCGCTCGCCAGTGTGCAGCCGCTGGTGGTTGAGCAGGTGCTCCTTGCGCATGAAGCTCTTGCTGCAGTCGGTGCACGGGTACGGGCGCTCACCCGTGTGGATCATCTGGTGACGGATGAGAGCTGAGTGGCCGTTGAAGTCGATGCCACACTGGGGACAGGAGAAGGGACGAGCCTGTGCATGGCCCCGCTGGTGGAGCAGAAGGCTGACCTTGAGGCTGAAGCTGCGGCCGCACTGTGCACAGCGGAAGGGCCTCTCGCTGGCATGGGCCCGGCGGTGACTGGTGAGGCGGGCCTGGTCAGCAAAGCGCTTGGGGCAGTCGGGGCAGGGGAAGGGGCGCTCAGCACTGCTATGTACTCGGAGGTGGTAGGTGAGCCTGGACGGGTGAGTGAAGGTCCGGGAGCAGTGCGGGCAGGTGGGGGGAAGGTCACAGGCAGGGTCCTGGGAGACACCACCAAGGCCAGGCTGCTGAGGAAAGTGCTTCGGGCAAGAGGTGCTGGGCGGGGGGCACTCTGCTGAGTGGCTACATTCAGCAGTCAGTAGCGCATCCCGACCAAGGTTCTTGCCACACTGGCGACCCGAAAAGGTCTGCTCTGCAGTAGGTGGTGGAAGGGGGTAGGTCCCCAACTGGGTGAAAGTAACTGGCCCCTCAGAGGCTTCAGCTAGGTCAGCAGCTGGACGTGCAAAGTGTGCCATGGGTGCAGACTGCTGGGTTTTGAAAGTCACATCTGGGAAAGTGTCCTTGGCTGTGGCTGCTGAAGGAGAGGAGAAGGTGACAGGAACCTCTGGGCACAGGGGTGGACCAGCAAGGTCTTCTGCTTTGACCACAAGCTCCTCATCTGAAAGAAAGGACCTGAGAGTCAGGCCGGAAGGCTGTGACCCCACTGGGACAGGCTGCTTACACCCTTGGCAGGCTCAGACCAGATGCCAAATGGTGAGAGTTGAACTTGGCACCTCCATCACCAAAGGCAGAGCAGCAGGCCACTGTATCTCTCAGATGCTCTGCACGGTAAAGTCAAAGCCTGCATAGAGTCCAGCTCTGTGAACATATGTTTTTGTTCCTCCCTGTGACCAGCTGTCTTCAGTGTGCCCTTGGAGAACACCATTTGTGCTTTCTTACCCATCTGCCAAAACCACACCCAACCCAGCACACTGCCTTTCAGGGCCACTCGGGCGTCACACCATCAGTGGCCTCATCTCAAGGCCTAAGTTGTTTCCTCCTCTCCAGACCTGTCCTTCCCCTCACTCAAAAGCAGGCACTCCCCATTCCAGCTCTTAACAGTAACCATGCCTGGTGTCCTTTCACAAGTCTCCTAAAGTGTACACATGTGTTCTTCACTCACGTCCCGCAGAGCTTTCCAGAACATTAGAAAGAAGATAGGAAATAACAGACATGCTAGTTTGTTTAAACTAACAGATCCTTTAGGTCTCCTTTCGGAATTCAAACGAAAAAATGCACATCTGGAGGGAAGGGTTCTGACCAGCATTTCCAGCTGCTCCTTTCCAGCTACTTTCCTATCACCTTGGTGGTCTCCATTCTCCTTTCAATTCTGTTCTATCTTTCCATATGGTTTTCAGGCATTCTTTCTGCCTTTACTACCATCTTCACAGTGTCATATGCACTTATTTTCTTCCTCTGAAAATTTCACTTCTCTTTATACCTGTAAGTGCTTTCATCTATTCATGTGGGGCCGCAGAGTATGGAGTCAGAGAAACATGAGTAGGAAATACAATGTGTGATTAATGCCCTCCATAAACAAGCTTCCTCTTCTGCCCTGAGGCATGTACTACTGAATGGTGCTCAACTACCAATCCTGAATAAACACTGCTGATTCCATAGGAAAATTATAATAAAAAAGGGAGAAATACAAAAGAGAATTTTCAAATTCTCATGGATTCTAAACTTTCTGGACCTATGAAGGAGTAATAAATCCCTGAAAGTATTGTTCTGAGAGATAATCTTTAACCAAGAATGTTCTTAGAGATAATCTTTAAACAAACAAAAATAATTATACCCTGGAGTAATCTTAAAATCAAACAATGTTGTTGCTGCTGCTGTTAGGTGTCATCAAGTCAACTGCAGCACACAGTGACCATGTGGTTGTTGTTAGCCACAGTCTCACAGCTGATCTTCCAGCAGGTTTCCAGAGGCAGTCAAGTGCACGGAAGGAGCCTGCCCATCTTTCTTCAGTCGGTCAACTGGTAGATTCAAATCATGTGCCTTCAGTTTGGCAGCACAATTCCTTACCACAAAGTCACCAGAGCCCTCTCATAGTGACCCTTGTTTTTGTGTACCATTGAGTTGGAACCGACCCATAGCTGACCCGTCAGTGGGTTTTCATGGGCATAGGAGAGGATTGCCCATATTTCTCCTGCAAAGTAGCTGGTAGATTTGAATCCCTCACCTGTGCTGTCAGCAGCGCATTTCATACCAATAGGCCACCAGAGATCGCTTACCATGATCAATAAACCTGTCCTGCACCATCTTCACCATCTCTTCTATGCTCAAGCCTACTGTCTCTGTCACTGTGCCAATGCATCTTATTAAGTGTCTTCTTTCTCTCCCTCCACCTTTCCAGGTATGAGGTCTTTTTCCAATACTGGTCCCTCCCAACAACATGCTCATAGTATATGGAATGAGCTCCCATAGTCAGTACTCTTCTCCAACCCTACAATTCAGGAAGAGGAGTAGGAAGTTAAATGTGCAATTAACTGCCTCCAAGAACAACAGCTTCCTCATTTGCCATGAGAGTAGTAGTACTGAATGGTGCCCATCTAACAATATTGAACATTCTGATCAAAGATTCCATGGAAGAATTCTAAGCAAATAGGGGTAAATGCAAAACAGAATTTAAAATTCTTATGGATTCTAAACTCTTTGGAGCCATGAAGGGAAAATAAACTTCTGAAACTATTGTCCTGAGATAATCTTTAAACTTGAAACCAAAAATATCTCCTGAAGTTGTCTAAAAATCAAACACGTTTAGCTTAACTAGTAAAAAAGATCTGCCTTGGGCATTATGCTCTTTTAAAAATCACCTGGGATTTAAAAAAAAATCACCTGGGATTAAACTGACAACAGCAACTGAAAAGACAGAAATCAGGGGGAAATGAGTTTGTATTAATGCAGAGGGCAATTCAGGAAGAGGGTGCAGGAGGTTGTAATGAAAAACGAAGAGCGTGGTCCGTATCAATAGACTGGACATGCAGAAATGGTTAAACTGGTGTATGCTTTGCTGTGTATATTCTTAACAACAACTAAGTTAAAAAACAAAGGAGGGAAGGGAGAGGAGGGAAGGAGGGAAGGAAGGAAGGAAGGAAGAAATCCCAGAACTTCTTGTTCAAAGAATTGGAAAAGATGTATCATTACAGGTACTGAAATACACACCTCTCCTTCCTGTTTCAAAGAGGGAAGAGTCATCCCTTTGGGATGTAACTTTCTAACAAATATTTTACCATCAAAAAAGAGAGCCTGAAATACAACATTTTTGCTCTTAAAATATTTTCGGCATAGTGAGTTAAGTACAGTTCAAACTCACCCATCACTCTTTGGGAAAAAGATGATATAGTCTGCTTCCATTAGGATGCACAGTCAAGACTCCACTTAGGTATCCATGAACTAAAGTTTTGTATTAATATGTATCTTGTTAAACCCCCAAAGTAAGACTATATTTACAGACACCAGGATTTAAGAACAATACACATTCAATTGCTATTTTCTGGCCTTTACTAGTCCTGCAGTTTTGCAAATATGATGTCCTTCTGCAGCAGTCACAGCCTCCTGATGTCTTTTAGCCCACACTCTCCTGTACAGGAGGCAATCCTGCACTGTGGCTCTGCATCTCTGGGGTCCTGGCCCTTGGTGTGAAGAGGTAACAACAGACAATGCTCACCTGCTCCATGGACACTTCTCAACACTGGCAACGTGTGCCCACTGAAAATGTTCCTGCCCATCTTCCCCTGCGCAGACACCTCATTCTACAGCATTTCTCCAATGTTCTTCACTGTCTTTTAAGGCAGTATCTTTCCCACTTTCCTCTCATCTACATATACTGTCTGATGCCCTTTCTACTTTTCTAGATCCACTGGAAATGTTTACCTTCTCATCTCTATGCTCTTAGATTAACCAATGCCTTGAAAATGCCACATAAAAGGGGCTGAACGGAGAGTGGGGAGGAGATGCTGAAAGGACAGTGGAGAGGTAGGTACTGACTGAGGCACCTAACAGTGGGATGAGTCCCTGCTGAGAGCTCTGCCCTCCCTGCCAGGTGACAGTTACAGATGGGGACAGAGGGGACCTAGGATTCTGCATCCTTGTCTGGTTCTCTTGCCCAGGATCCTGGGTTACGCTGCAGCAACAGAACTTTCAACATAGAAAACTAGAAAGGAAAAATTTCTGAATGGTGAGTATACAATAAGGAAGCAAAGAAGACTCACATTCCTGTTCTATTTGTGCCCCAAGCCCCAAGCCCCTTAGTCCAACCCTTCCAGAAATCTCAACTTCACTTCTGAGATAAAGAGGGGATAAAAAAAGAATCACAGTCACAGAAACCCAATTGAGGGTCCAGGAAACAGAAACAACGCCTACAGATTGGTTTTTAGCACAGCAGGAGTGATCAGGATATATGAGTAAGGAAACTCACAACTTACCAAAAAAGTTTCCTAGTGTACAATATATTTTTTTAAATAAAATTTTTCTTTTATACTGGTTTATTTACAAAGTTTGTATACATTGTTTTTTGTTTTTTTTAAATTTATTTTATTTCATTATTTTTTGTGTGTACCATTAAATCAGATCTGACTGGTACAGGAGGAGATTGTTCCTCCTTCTCCAGCAGAGAATCTGGTGGATTCGAACCATGTACCTCTGAGATTGCAGTACAGTTTCTTGCCACTAGGCCACCAGAGCTTGCCTATAAATTATTTTTTACACCAGATCTTTCCCATTTCCTTTCCCCATCCCTCCCTCCATCCATCAAATCATGTGAGCCTATGACTGTGAACAATTTAAGTTAATAACCTTTGGCTTCATTTCTCACTTTCTTGTTCTTAAGCCGTCCACTCCCTTCCCTCCACTTCTTTCAGTGCTACTGCCTGTGAGCCCCAGCCTTGCTTGAGTCCCTCAGTACGTCACTCACCGACATAGGCACTTGGGTAGAGGTCACTCTCCTTGGACTCCTGCGTGGCCCCAGACTGAGGCTCCTCCTCTTGTTTTATCCAAGACAGAATATCTGATGTTGAAATACCAGGCTCTACATGTGAGAAAAAGAGAGGGACTTTAGGAACTTGAACCAGAAAGTAAGATAGTCTCTTTGGTTTGCTGATTAAGTTTTATCTAAATGTTTATTTCCAAATGTACTATAGCAACAAAACCATACCAGTTTCCAAAATATGCTTGAATCCATGAATCTAAATTAGAAGGGATAGGCATATAGAAATTATCATTTCACATTAACTTCTTGGTTCAATATTAAATCCACCAGTGACCAAATAATAGGAAGCCAGAGATAGACACATGTACGACTGGTCTGCGTCTGGCCCTAATAACAGAGTCAAAGGACATACTGATACGAACTTTGTATGTAAACAAGTATAAACAGAAATTGTATTAAAAAAACAGGCATAGATCAACAGTAATTAATTCTATATAACACTATATATGAATGAATGTATGAAACACAATATAAATGAAAGACTGAATAAAACACAGTGTATATGAATGAAACGCAATGTATGTAAATTATTGCATGCAAACCATAAAAAAAAATAAATAAAAAAAAGGACAGCCATACTAAGAAAAATCTCAAAGGCATACCTTTTTGGTATTGTATTCTTGGCCATTCTGTCCGTCTTAATGGTATGAGTTTGTGGTTGTTGTTTTTTAAGAGTGTGTGTGTACTGTCAAATCAGATCTGACAGGTACAAGAGGATATTACCCTTCCTTCTCCAGCAGAGCATCTTCTAGCCACTAGGCCACCAGAGCTCCCTGGTAGTGAGATTTTTTATTATGAGGGAAACTGGAATGGACTGTCATTCTCCCACTCACCATCACTGGGGTCTGTGGGCACCTCATTCTCCTGTCGCCCAGCCTGGCCTCCAGTGTTATGTTCTCCTTCTGGCTGAATCTGAGATAAGACATCAGGTTGGCTCATGGCATAATCTAGGAGAGGAAAAGGAAGTGAGGCATGACAAAGAGAAGACAGATGAGGAAGAGTGCTAATCAGGTTTTGAAAAGCATAGCCTCAAGGGATTTCTTTGGGCCCCACCCCACTTCAGCATCTCCCACTGAGATCATGCATATCCCAGAGGACAGCAGAGCTGAAGTGTGGGAAACCTGCACCTGCACCATGAGGGCAAGAATAAGGGGTCTCAGGGGAATCTAGAACCATCAGGTGCCCATGAAAAGTATGGGCTCACTCTCAGAAACACGCTGTCCTATTTATAAAGGATGTACTGGTTCTCTGTAGCTTGAAAGCAGAATCTGAAGTGTGTGCTAACCAAGTATGACAATATAGATATGCAAGAGGGAGACAGCCCCAACTCCTCCTAAAGGCGTTGACGCAGCCTCACCCATAGAGATGAGAGACTCGCAGTTGCCCTTCATGATGTTCTTGTACAGTTCTTTCTGCCACTCTTCTAACTTTTCCCACTCTGGAGTGGAAAAGTAGATGGAGACATCATCAAATGTGACAGGGACCTGAAATCACAATCATCAGTTAGTCCCTCCCATGGCAATCCAATCAATTGATTGAATCTTTATTAAGTGCCTACTAGCCACCAAAACCCCAGCACTAAAGATCCAGCTAAGCCACCATCTGTGCCATCATACCCACTGGGACCCCATCCTGACATGTAGCCAAAGGCCTCACTGTGGCCAGAGAATGCTATCCTGTGCCATGATAGTCATCTACTTGATTGTCTTTACAGTTTCTCTTATACGTAGTATAGTATTTGCCTCAGTTTGCTGGAGTAGGGTAACCTGGGGTTCCTGTGATGCTAGAAGCTATGTCACAGGTGTTTTAAAGGCCAGAAAGGTCACCCACAATGGACAGGTTTCAGCAGAGCTCCCAAATTAAGACAAACTAGGAAGCAGGACTGGGTGTCCACTTCTAAAATAACAAACCTCTTAAAACCCTATGAAAAGGAGAAGAATACAGTATTAGAAGGAAACCCAGATTGAAAGTCACTTAAAATGAGGAGAAACAGCTGCAAGTATCCTTTAATAACTAGAACATGCAATGTATAAATCATGAATGTAGGAAAACTGGAAATTGTAAAAAAATGAAATGGAATGCATGAAAATCAACATTCTAGGCCTTGGTGAACTGAGATGGACTGGTACTGGACACTCTGAATCAGACAATCATATGATCTATTATGCCAGGAATAAAAAACTTGGGGAAAATGGTGTTACTTTTTTAATGAAAAGGACCATTTCAAAATCTATCCTAAAGTGCAATGTTGTGATAGGACACCATGCATACACATACAAGAAAGACCTGTTAATATGCCTATTATTCAAATACATGGACCAACAACTAAAGCCGAAGAGGAGCAAAGGAAGACTTCTACCAACTTTTGCAGCCCAAAATTGACCAAACAGGCAATCAAGATAATGAATGGTGACTGGAATGCAAAAGTTAGAAACAATGAGGAATGAGTGATACTTAGAAAGTACGGTAACAGTGAAAGAAATGAGGCTGGACTTAATGACTGAATTTTGTACATTAAGTGATTGATTCACCACAAATACTTTTTTAAAAAAATGTAAAAAGTGTCTTTACCATGGACTTTACCTGAAAGACTGCACAGGAAACAGACTGACCATATGTGGAAAGAATTGTTGGAGAAACTCAATTTCAAGCAGTCAAAACAAGGCCAGATGTTGACTGCGGAACAGACTCAATTATTCATGCAAGTTCAAACTGAGGGTGAAGAAAACAAGTCTCTAAGAACCAAAATCTGGGGGACGACAACTGTATAACAATGAAAGAACTTTTTTTACAAAGAAAAAAAGCAAATTGGAGGGGGGCAGGGAGGAAAATGTGCAACAATGAATGAATGGAAATCCAAGTTCTTTATAAACTTACAATAAAATCTCAGTAAAAAATAATATTTATATATGTATGTTATTGTTATGTGCCATCGAGTCACTTGCAACTCATAGCGACCCTATGTACAACAGCCCTAAACCCTGCTCTATCTTGTGCCAATCTCACTGCCTCTGACACACCCATCCTGATTACCCCAGTCACTGAATCAATCCACCTCATAGAGGGTCTTCCCCTCCTGCGCTCTCCCTCCACCCTCCCAAGCATGATGTCCCTCTCCAAAGACCTGTCCCTCCTTACAACATGACCAAAGTATGTCAGACAAAGCCCCAGAATTCTTGCCTCTAAGGAGCAGCCTGGTTTAACCCTCTCCAGGATGAATCTGTTTGTTTTCTTGGCAGTCCATGGTATATTCAATACTCTTCTCCAGCACCACAGCTCAAAGGCATCAATTCTCCTTCTAACCTCCCTAATCATTGTAGTTTATATATATTTATATATATAAATACATAGTTTATAATATATAAATATATAATTTATAGTAATTTTACACACACACACACACAAATCTGACTTTGAGTTTAATCCTACTTGAATTTAAAAATCATCTGCCAAACTAGTTGGAGGCACTGAACATTAAAGATCAAAGACCAAATGAGTTACACAATGATATCCATGATAACATCTATAAAGAGAGCAGAAGGTGATTACAAAGATCAAAGAGAAGGACAAGACCAAAATGGATGTCAGAAGAGGCTCTGAAAATTGCAACCAAGTGTTGAGAAGCCAAAACAAAGGGAAGAGATGTTAAAGTAAAAGAGATGAACAGAAGATTTCAAAGGGCATCTCGAGAAGACAAAGCAAGTTATTATAATGGAATGTGCAAAGAATTGGTGTTGGAGAACATAAAAGGAAGAATTTGCTCTGACTAGGAAAGTAAATTCAAGTCTTGAGCTGCAAGACTGAAAGAGGTTACGGGTAAAATCTTGATAATGCAGAAAGCATCAAAAGAAGATGGAAGGAATACAGAGTCACTTTCCATTCAAAAAGGATTGGCTGACATGGAAAAACGTCAGGAAGCACGATATTAAAAGAACCGATGATAATGAAGAAGTTCAAGCTGCACTGAAGGCATTGGTAAAATATTAGGCCCTAGGAACTGATGAGATACCAATTAACATGTTTCAACTAACAAAGGCAGCCCTGGATATGTTCATCAGTCTATGCCAGGAAATTTCGAAGACAGTTGCTTGGCCAAATGATTGGAAGAGATCCTTATTTGTTTGTTCCTATTCCCAAGAAAAATGACTCAACAGAATGTGTTAAAATCATTAATATCACATGTAGCAAAATACTGTTGTGCAAGGAGACTAGAGAGTGCTTCAGTGAACAACTATGAACTTGGTGGGACCAAACGAAGGTGTACATACAAAACAGAAGCCCATCTCCCAGCACAGACTGGAATGTGTACAGCTGCATGCAGCTAAAGGGCTTATAAGAATCAAGTAACAATTATTTTAGATGTTGAATATAAGAAAGACATCAGGGTGTGGGGTAAAGGGTTTTGGATATTGGTTAGTAACAGCTGAGGAATCTGCAGCATGAGAGTGACTTGGGAATATTAATCTAGTAAGAACCGACTCCTAGCTAACCCTCCAGTGGGTTTTCAGAGGCCATCAGCGGCACAGGAGAACATTAAACTAGGGAGGGGTAATGCTTTTCTCTGGGACAGGAACTAAGCTGGAAGGTTTCTCAGGGAGATCAAAGAAAAAGTGTGAGCATATGTCCATCCACAGAAGAGTGCAGTACAGACTCAATTCCCCAGGCAGGGTCCAGGAGATGCTGCTCCTGAGGGCAGGGCCCCATCTCGCTCTCGCTCACACCAGCCTCCACATACCAAAGTGGTCTGTGGGATGGACAAGCCTGCTGGGCATTCACAGGTTAGGGATGCAGTGTTGTCAGAGGTGGGCAGCTCCTGGGGAAAGGTAGTTTGGTTCTTTTCCTTCTGGTCTCCTCCTACCAGTACTTCCCCCACCCCCAAACTTTCCTGCCGTCATTACGGTTCTGTACAGCCCACCATCTAACCCAGACCACTTACCTGGATGGACAGGTGCAGGGGCTGCAGCAAGTCTCTCAGCTCCCCTGTCCTGGTGAGGTCCCTATGGTAGGGGACAAGGGTACTTGAATACCTGTACCTTCCTGTACCCTGCAGTGGAGGCTGATGAGCAGCTGTTTCCCAGGGGGACCTGCCAGGACCCCCAAGGGAGGTCAGTTCAATTTCTGTCAGAACTTCTCCTGACCCACCAAGGTGCTGGGCTACTCAGGTAACAGTTAGGGCAGAAACGATTTTCAATGTTTACAAAATCAGACCAGTAAGCTGGTTTTTGCAACAGCCACATCTTACATGGATGCCAGACAAACTACCATTCACTCTAAGGGAACAGAGTTTCTAGAGATGTTCTCTGGGGCCCAAGACCAACTGGAATTGAGTTGTATAAATAACAGTGTATTTTCTCTTCAGTCCTTTATTTTCACACACCTCCACGGGACAGTAGCTTACTGTGTTTTGCAAAACCACGGCACACTGGTCTAAACAGTCTTTTGACAAACCTATCCTTGACAATCAATCCCAAGGTCTAAACAATATGACTAAACAACTGTTTTGTGTCAGCTTCTGTCATCCTCATCAGAAGATGAAGTCATCCAGCTCCTCATACTGCTAATAAACACAGGGAGCTCTGAAGACACAGACCTTAGGGAGATGTGCTGAGAACTTAGAGGAGGCAGGTCTCTAATGGTTCAAATCCACCAGTGAGTTGTGCAATTGAGTTTTTAGAGGCTGTAAATCGCACAAGAGGAGACTGCCCATTTTTCTCCCACAGAGCAGCTGGTGGATTCTTCCTTCTGTGCCTGCTCCATGGATTACTTTCCACACAGGAGCCAAAGTGATTCTTTTAAAGTACATACCAGAGAAAGTTACATTACTCAGAACATTCTAGCCTCTCCTCAAGGTTCATGACCTCATTAGTGGTTCACAACCTTAGTCACATATTGGAATCATTTAGGGAACTTTAAATTAATGCTTCTTTCCTTTTCTGGATCAAGTCACACAGCTACGTGTGATCCCACTCAGAACTTAAAAAGCCTTCAGGTTATTTTTATGTACAACTGAGGCTATTAGGAAAAATTTTAAAAAAAAAATAATAAATGTCCTGTCAATTCCAGTCATGCCAATTCTACAGGAAAGAGAACTGTCTCCATGAACCTTCTGGTCAGCAGCTGAGCTCTTAACCACTGCTTCTTGGGGCCAAAAGCCATGGCCCCGCTCCCTTCATTTTTCCCAGCACATGCTGATTCATTCCCACCAAGGAGCCTCTTCCTTCTTGGATGTCCACAATGCTCCACACTAGCTCCCTCCTCTGCCCACAAAGCACTGCGTCAGATCTTATCACAGCTGTGTCCTTCTATCACTCAGTCTCCAATTAAAGATTAGCATCTTTCTGAGAGCTTGTCTGCTATTCAGACTCAAAAATTGATCCCCAGACAGCTCTTCGCTTTATTTCTCTCAGAGCACGTCAGCATATTTTTCTTAATCGAGGTTTTATCCCTCCCCACTAAAATTCAAGCTCTAGGAAAAATGAGTTATATCAATTGTTCTTAGAAACACAGAAACATTTTTGTTCTCATCTCCAAGAAAGCTGATCCAATAAAACATGGGAACTATCAAACAATAGCATTAAAATCACATGCAAACAAAATACTGCTCAAGATCATTCAAAAACAGCTATAGCAGTACATAGATAGGAAACTGCCAGAAGTTCTAGCAAAATTCAGAAGAGGCCATAGTACCAGGGACATCATTGCTGATGTCAGATGGATCTATTTATGCTTTATTGACTATGCAAAGGCATTTGACTATGTGGATTGTAACAAGTTACGGCTAACACTGAGAAGAATGGGAACTCCAGAGCACTTAATTGTGCTCATGCAAAACTTGTACCTAGACCAAGAGGCTGTGTGTGAACAAAGCAATGAACACTAAATGGTTTAAAATTAAGAATGGAGTGCATTAGGGTTGTATCCTTTCTCCAAATCTATTCAATCTGTATGCTGAGAAAATTATTCAAGAATTTGTACTCTGAAAAAGAATGCGGCATCAGGATTTGAGGGAGATTCATTAATAACTTGCATTATGCAGATGACAAACACAACCCTGCTTACTAAAAGTGAAAAAGACTTGAGGCACTTGTTGCAGATCAAAGACTATATAGCCTTTTGTATGGACTGCATCTCAATGTCAAGAAAACAAGATGTATTCCACTGGGAAAGTGTGCATTCAGGGACCTCTCCAAATCAGTGAGGAATAATGATGTCAATTTAAGGACTAAGGTGCATCTGATTCAGGCCATGGTCTTTTTGATCAGCTATGCATCCGAGACGTGGACAATGAATAAAGATGACAGAAGAAGAGTTAATGCCTTTGAGCTATGTATGGTGTTGGAGAGAGAAGAATACTAAATATCCTACGGACTGCCAAACGAACAAATAAATATGTCTTGGAGAGGGTGCAGCTGGAAAGCTTTTTGGAGCCAAGAATGATGCTTGGAAAGAAAGAGGGTCAGTAAGGAGAGAAAGACCCTCAGCCAGGTAGATTGACAGAATGACTGCTGCAACGGGCTCCAGAAGTGTCAACGGGTGTCAAGAAGTGTATGGATTCAGATCTGTTGTTCATGGGTAACTATGAGTCATACTCAACTCGACGGCACCTACCAACAACATGTTCTCAGAACACAGATCAAGCAAATTCTAAGTGTTTAAGAAGTATTTATTGAATAAACGCATAAACAAATGGGCTTGCTAAGCAGTGGTCTCTAAGTTGTAACCAAAATTTAGAAGCAATGTTTGTGTCCTCTGGTTAAGCTATTCCCTTCGAATAGTTCTGTATCTCTCTGCAAAGGATGATGATTGTCAGACTCCATATCAACATGAGGCCCACACAGAAGCCAAAGTCCTTGTCTCTATACCCTTTCCTCTCTGTTTCTCACCAGAATGGCCAATAAACACAAACAAACGGATTTAAATATTCAAGTTCAGCTTCCATTCCAAGATTCTGGCAGGAAAGTTAACAAAGAGAAAAGTAATTCAGTGGTCATGAGCAGGAAAAAGCAAGAGGAAAAAAAATCCATCTGCCAGGAAACTAACATTTGCAGTGAGCACAAAATTAAACAGAGAACTTCCCTAACAGAAATGCGCAACAACTCCAGGTCTAACAATCTAAATGGAAAGAAAAAACACTTGACTGGCAAAGACTATCCCTAAGCACTAGTTTAAAGTGAAGGGTTTGTAAAACAATGAAAGAATCTTTTCTTTTACTTTTCCATAATTTTTGACTCATGTACTTATAAACTTGTTAGTCAAATTTGTGTCTTCTAGGTTGCAACACCCCCATGATACATCTTCAAGGATATGAACATGTACGGCCAAGCACAATCAATAAGAGTGCATCTAAATTCCAAAATCAATCTCCATAATAGTCTATGTGTTTCCTACTGCCAAAGGGGCCCTTTAGAGTAGTGAGAGAAGATCTTCACCCTGAAACCCACAGCGTCCCTTTTCAGCAGGAAGTAGCTAAGAGAATACACCATCCCCTTTTCCTTATGACTCAGGGTGAAGTCTCTCTCAGGGAGGAGTGATAGGGAATGGCAAGGGACACACTGACAAAGAAGATTAATCAGAACTGGCTTTGACAAGCACTGTGGCATTTGGACAAGAACAAACTGGGAGGAGGGTAGAGAGAATAGTGCAACAATGAATGAATGGAAACCCAAAATCTCTGTAAATGTTTATGAAAATTAATAAAATATAATTATAGGGAAAAAAAATCCTCAAAGTCACTGCCATTAAGCCATAAGCACCAAGCTACCATAGCTGATCTTCGAGCAAGTTTTTAGAGCTGTCAACTATACAGAAGGAGAATTGCCTGTCCTTCTCATGATGTGTAGCTGGTGGATGTGAAGCCCGTCTCTGGCTTGGTGGCATCACTCCCTACTAACTAGGCAATAAAGTTCACTAGTACAAAAGATGAAGGGGCTATTACCTTTGGGACATCTCCTTTGATGCCCGGGGGCAGCCGCAGGATCCAGAAGTTCCTGTTGCGGAGCAGGTTCTCCATGTTCTCCAGCCGCCGCTGCAGCAGCCCGTACTCCTGCAGCAGCGTCCCCAGGACGGCCCACTTGCCCTCCAGCTGGTTGCCAAGCTCAGTCACTGTCTTCTCACAACTGGCCAACTTCTTTTCTGCTGTCCCTGTGCGTCCTTCCAGATGCAGGAGTCGACGGCTGTGGACTTCCACCTTCCTTTCTATGGCCTGTACAGCTGCCACCACGGTCCACAGAGAGATGGCTGCTGTTTGCAGGTGGGCCTCATTCGTGGCTGGAGGAGTGGGGAGAGGAAGAGGCTGCAGAGAAGCCAGGCACTCAGAGTCCCATTCAGAAGTCTGCAGAGTGGAAAGAAAGGACAGGACATATGTGTTACAAGGAACTATAACTCAAAACCTGCAATTTGCTACGGGCTGCTTAATTAACAGCCTCGATCACTCTAACAGCAGTGACTCTGTGTACTCCCTCTACCTTCTTTTGATATTTTCTGAGTCATTCAATATACTGCCTATAGAATTTTTCTTTTTATATTGTTGGTGGGTTTTTATACCCCCTCAGTCATTTTTTTTTCTTTTCTCCCTTGTTGTGTACCATGGAACCGGATGCGAATGGCATAGGAGATTATCCCTCCTTCTCCGCAGAGCATCTGGTGGATTTGAACCACGTTCCTTTGGGATTGCAGTGCAACTTCTAGCCACTAGGCCACGAGAGCCCCCAATAGCATTTTTCAATGTTGCAACTTGATATTTAAATTTTTCAGTGCTCTCAATTTGAGAAATGCAGACCAATTTCTTCTCTTTTTAAACTCCATGTCTAGCTCTCTGCACATTCCTTTATAATACTTTGCTCAGTCTTCTCAAGATGCCCCTTGAAATTGTTCAGCTCTCTAACTTCAGTTTATTTCCCGTTTTGGTTTCTCAACTCTTTAGTGCTAGTTTTAGTCTTTTCTGACATCCATTTCAATTTTTTCTTTCTCCTCTGTCTTTGTAATGATCTTTTGCTTTCTTCATTGATGATATCCGTTACATCATCCCATAGCTAATCTGGTCTTCGATCACTGGTGTTCAATGCTTCAAACCTATTCTTAAGATGATCTTGAAATTCAGATGGAATAAATAGAAGATGGAGGGAATACACAGAATCACTGTAACAAAAAGAACTGACACTGAAAAATTTTAGGGAATACTATATGAGCTGTAGCCAAAGATAATGGAGGAGGAAGTGTAAGCTCCATTGAAGGCACTGGCAAAAAAATAAGGCCCCAGGAATTGATGGGATACCAAATGGCAGTCCCAGATGCACTCACCAGTCTCTGCCAGGAAATCTGGAGGACAGCTGTCTGGCCAATGGACTAGAAGAGATTCCTATTTGTTCCCATTCGCGAGAAAGGTAATCCAACAGAATGTGGAAACTAACAATAGCATTACTATCACATGCAAGCAAAATACTGCTGAAGATCATTCAAAAAACGGCTACGAGTTCAAGCAGGATTTAGAAAAGGCTGTGGCACCAGGGCTATCATTGCTAATGTCAGGTGGATCCTGCCTGAAAGTAAAGAATACCAAAAGAATGTCTCTTTATGCTTTACTGACTACGCAAAGGCATTTGACTGTGTGGATCGTAACAAGTTACAGCTCACAGTGAGAAGAATGGGAATCCCGGAGCACTTAACTGTGCTCATGTGAAACCTATACCTAGACCAGAAGGCTGTTATGCAAAACAGAGCAAGGAAACACTCCGTGGTTTAAACTTAGGGAGGGGGGAAAATTAGGAAGGTAGTGCATCAGGGTTGTATTCTCTCTCCATATTTATTCAACCTGTATGCTGAGTAAATTATTTAAGAAGCTGGACTCTATGAACAAGAATGTGGCATTAGAATCAGAGTGAGACTCATCAATAAGCTGCATTATCCAGGTGACCTCTTACTCAAAGTGGGGATGACTTGAAGCACTTATTGCTGAGAATCAAAGAACACAGCCTTCAATATAGACTGCATCTCAGTGTCAAGTAGACAGACATATCACAACATCAACAGTCTTCCAAGCATCCTGAACAATCTACAACCAGAGAGGATAAAACAGATAAATGGGATCTTCTTAGCATCAAAGCCCTATGCACATCCAGAAACTTCTCCAACAGGGTAAAAAGGGAAGCCACAGACTGGGAAAAAATATTTGGTAATGACATGTCAGATAAGGTACTTATATCTAGAATTTATAAAATACTTGAGCACCACAACAAGATAAAGGTAAAAACCAATTGAAAAATGGGCACAGAATATGAACAGACACTTCACCAAAGAAGACATTCAGATGGCAAACAAACATGAAGAAATGTTCAAAATCCCTAGCTCTAAGAGAAATGCAAATCAAAACAACTAGGAGCTATCATCTCACCCCAGTAAGAATAGCAAAATTTAACAGAACAGCAAACAAATGCTCACGAGGTTGTGGAGAAACTGGAACCCTTATTCACTGCTGGTGGAAGTGTAAAATGGTGCAGCCACTATGGAAGGCGGTATATGGCACTTTCTCAAAAAGTTGGAAATAGAAATACCATTTGACCCAGCAATTCCACTACTTGGAATATACCCCAAAGAAACAATAACCAGCACCCAAACAGATATATGCACACACATGTTTATTATGGCTTTGTTCACAATAGCAAAGAGTTGGAAACAACCTAAGTGCCCATCAACTAACGAATGGATAGAGAAGCTGTGGTATATTCACAAAATGGAATTCTATACTGCATTGGAAAAACAAGGAACTCAGGAAATATTATTCAAAATGGATGACCCTGGAGGACACTATGCTGAGTGAAATATCTCAGTCACAAATGGACAAATACTGCATAGTGCCTCTGTTGTAAAATGGGACTGACATAGGGGTTGGGGTAGAGACTGAAAAAGATGGGATAATTCACTGCACCGAAACAGATGAGAGAGAGAACTGTTTAAAAGGGATAGATGATTAGGTATTATTGTTATGACAGGAGTCCAGAATGAAGGCTGTATAGTGGAGTGGACTTGCGGGGAAGGACTGTATAACAATGAAAGAATTTTTTACTTTTCAAAGAGATCGAACTGGGGGCAGGGGGTGGATAGGGAGAAAAGTGCAACAATGAATGAATGGAAATCTCTGTAAATTTTCATTAAAATTAATAATAATAAAAGAAGACAGAAATATTCTTACCACTGGACTATAGGCACCATCATGATAGATGGAGAGAATTGAAACTGTCACAACACTTCATCTTACTTGGAGCCACAATTAAAAAACTTTGGTACCAGCAGTCAGGAAATCAGGAGACATATTCCACTGGGCAAGTGTGCAGTCAGGACCTCTCCAAATCACTGAGGAGTTATGATGTCAGTTTGAGGACTAAGGTGCATCTGATTCAGGCCATGGTCTTTCTGATCATTCACTATGCATCTGAGAAGTGGACAATGAATAAGGACAACAGAAGAATTGATGCCTTTGAGCTATGGTATTGGAGAAGAGCACTGAACATCCCATGGACGCCCAAAAGAATAAAATAGTATGTCTAATAAAATAGTATGTCTTAGAAAGGGTGCAGCCAGAGTGCTCTTTGGAGGCAAAGCTTCACCTCGTATACTTGGGAGCATGTTACTAGGAGGGGCTAATTCCTTGGAGAGGTACATGATGCTCAGAAAGGTGGAGGGCTGGTGAAGGAGCGGAAGACCCTCAACCAGGTGGACTGACACAATGACTGCTGCAATGGTCTCTATAGTGTGTCAGGAGGTATGAGGATGGCACAAGATTTCAGATCTGTTTTACAGAAGTTTGTTAGGGGTCAACTAGACAGCACCTAACAACGAGATTACTCTAAACTGTTTTATTGCTGCCTGTGTAAGCTTCATTTGTCTGGTGTAAACTGAGTCTGAGACCACTTAGGTAAGACAAGAAATGGGTGAACTGATTCCTAAAAAACATCCTGGATCATGTGCTAGGATACCAGGCCCCAGAGTTAAGCACCCAGAGCTCTAGGTGCTGTTTGTCCGGAACCCTGGAGAGGGCCTGAATGCACACAGGTCGTCTGCAGGTCTTACAAAACTCAAGTGGGCTCACTAAGTCCCTCTGGCCCTGACCATCAGCTAGTTTGCAGACCACAACCAAACTGTTCAGCAGGTGTTGAATAAACTGAGAATATTATGTCTGCAAAAGCCCCAACAGCTATTTTAATATATTTGAGGGCTGTGAGACAGTGGCAGAATAGATTGACTTAATCTGTTATTCCTGATAACAAACAAAATCATGTATAACTGGCTGTCCTAAGACTAAAAATAATTCAGCCTATTCCTCACTTTGTTTCCTTCCTATTACTTCAACCACCTTCAACCTCTTCTCTTTGCCCCACCTGCTCAGATCTCATTCAGCCATGAATCAGCCTAGTCATTTTCATGCTTGTTCCTACAAGCAGGCTGGCAAGTCCTATAGAAGAAATCATACAATCTAATCAATTAACCTCAAAGCAGTCTCAGCAAGGACCCCACCAGGGCTTGATGCCCTCCATACTTTCTTCCCAATCCAAAAACTGGCTACCACTGACCCTCAGCACTCACAAACTTTCAATACAGCATGTACAAAATGCACATGGTCAAGAAGCACCTAAGGATGTTGTTACCATGCAGATTTTTATTAGATCTGGGAGAACAGAGACAAGCATCTGCATAATAATGCTGCTGCTAACCTGAGTGGGAAGGCTCTGTCTACTCTCTCACTGCTCTTTTTCACACAGGAAATGACCTGTCTCCTACTAGACATTGCACCTAAATCCTCTCCACTCTCTTCTTTTCCTTCACAACTTCAAAGCTACCAGTAATATTCATGCTTTCTTTTCTCCTTCTCAAAGGAAAAGGGCCCATCTTATTTAATTTGTCCACTTATGTTCCAATGTCAAGCTTTTTCACCTTTTATTTAGGTATTTGTTTCTTTCTCTTTGTCTTTTATATTCCAATCTCACCTGATCCTTATAAGCTAGACCTGCACTGTCAAGTGTGAAAGTAGCCAACAGCCTACATGGTTATTAAAGAACCTAAAATGTGACTAGTTTGATTGAGATATTACAAGTATAAAAAAAATACTAGATTTTAAAACTTGGTATGAAAAAAAATCACCATTTTCACTGGTTATATATTGAAATATTCTGGATGTATTGGATCAAAAAAGACACAAAAGTTAAATTTTGTCACTTGTTAAAAAAAGTGACCACTAGAAAAGGAGCTCTGGTGGCCTAGTAGCAAGAAGCAGCGCTGTAATCCCACAGCTGTGTTCGAATTCACCAGATGCTCTACTGGAGGAGGTGCAACCTCGTCCTGTGCCAGTCAGATCTGACTCAGCGGTACATAAGAAAAGTGACTACAAGAGAATTTTCCCAATGCAATGCTGTTAGGGACTGTTTAGTACAATTCACTGTGGTTCTCTCAGCAGATCTGAGCCTTGTCCTCACCTGTGCCATCTTCACAATCTTCACCACACCTGAGCTCGTTGCTGTAGTCACTGTGTGAGTCCAACTGGTTGAGGGTCTTCCTCTTTTTCATCATCCCTCCAACTTCAGAAGCATGATGTCCCTCTCCAAGAAATATACTCAAAGTATGTGAGACGACTTATCTATCATCTTTGCCTCCAAGGAGCACTTTGGCTTCACTCTCTGAAAGACCTATCTGCTTGTTCTTTTGGCAGTCCTTGGAGTAGTCAACACTTTTCTCCAACACCACACAGTTCAATCTCATCAATTCCTCTTCTGGCATCTTTATCCTAATGCAATGTCTTGATTTCCTGGCTGCTGGTACCAAGGGTGATGACTGTGAATCCAAGCAAGATGAAATCACTGACAATTTCGATTTCTTCTCCATCTATTGTCCCAATGGTGAGATTTTTTTGTTTTCTTGATGTTGAGATGTAACCCATACTGAAGACTCTAGTCTTTAACCTCCTGGAGCAATCATTTCAAGTCCTTGCTTTCATCAAGCAAGGTTGTATCATCTGCTTAACACAGGTTGTTGATAAATCTTCCTCCAATCCTGATGTCATATTCTTCTTTATATAGTACAGCTTCTTGAATTATTTGCTCAGCACACAGATACAAACAGGTATGGGAAAAGGATAGTCCTGAAAATACCTGTCCTGATTTTAAGTCATGCCGTGTTCCCTTGCTGTTTGTACAATAGCTTCTCGGTTTAGGTACAGGTTTGGCATGAGCACAATTAAGTCGTCTGGATTCCCATTCTTAATGTGAGTCATCATTTGTTATGATCTACACAGTTAAAAGCCTTTGCATAGTCAATGAAATGCAAACAGACATCACACACATCCTGATTTTAGCCAAGATCAGTAGATAACAGGGGCCTCTTCAAAGTGCTGATGAGCAATGATGTCAGTTTGAAGACTAAGGTGCACCTGATTCAAACGATAATCTTTTCTTAGTTACTAAAGTTGATGCCCTTGAGTTACGGTTTTGGACAAAAGTGCTGACTATCTTCAAGACTGCCAAAAGAACAAACAAATATGTCTTGCGAAAGGTGCAGCCAGGGTCTGTTGTCAGTCCTTGGAAGAGAGCCCCGCGCTCAGAAAAGTGGAGGGTCAACGACGGAGAGGAAACTCAACCAGATGGACGGACACAAGATCAGGGTCAGAGATGGTCCGGCCCGTGCCCTGACAAGCTGCCACCTTCAAGGAACGGAGACACGGGGTCCCCGCTGTGCTATTCCGCCACGTTACTCCTGCTCCAACGCCCAGAATCACTCAGGGCACCGGGATGAGTCCTCACTCGGGAAACGGCTGTCCTGGGGGTGGCCAGGCGCTCCTCGCGCAGGAGGCCTCGGGCTCCGTGTCCAGGCGGCGTGGCCGGCCGCCCACCTGCATGCGCCCCATCACCTGCGGGCCCCCATTTCCGGGGCGGATGGCGGACGGATGACAAACAAAACCGCCTCGCGTCGCCACGCTGCAGCGCGCGGCCTCGGCCCGGCCTCTCCGCGGGGCGGACGCCTCGGCATGAGACCCCCACCGGGACCGGCCTCAAGCCGAGAGCGGGTCTGCGGGAGCGGGCACGTCCCTCTCGGAGCCGCGCTCGGTCCGGCCGATACGCCTCGGCTGGAGGCCCCGCCGACACGGAGACCCCGGACCCGCGACGGCGCTGGGACAGCGGACCTGCCCGCATCCCCCACGGGCCCCACGTCCGGCCGCAGAGCCTTAAGGGCCGGACCCTCGGGCTCACAAGTGCGCGCTGCCCTTACCGGGGCCGCCGCCGCCTCAGCCATGGTCCCACGATGTGTGCCGGGCCCGAGGCCGCCACCTCCTCGGTCGTGTCCGGCTTGGCTGTGCGGGCAGCTCAGGGTGCGGGGCAGGAGCGCTGCCGCTCGAAGCTCTGGTCGCGGACAGATGCAGCCGCACTCGGACCTCAGCGGCCCGTCAGCCGGCGCTTCGTGCCACCGAGTGCAGCGGGGAAGCGCCTAGACGTTCCGCCGCCAAGCCGCGCCCAGCGCGCCCCCTACCGGCCCCTGCGCCCTTTCGCGCAGGCGCTAACGCGCTCGCGTCACCCATATGTCCCGGCGCTGCTGGCGCGCGCGACGCTCCGACGTGCCTGACGTTCCACACGTCGCTGACGCTCCAGACGTCACTGTCGCTCCCGACACGCGCCCATTCTTGCTTGTGATCGGCCGCGAGGCACGTCCTCTGGGCCTCGGGCGGCCCTCGGGTGCCCGCTTCCCCACCTGGACGCCCTGCGCTTCGTTCCCGCGCTCCGACCCCGGGCGGCCTTCGGGTGCCCGCTTCCCCACCTCGATGCCCTGCGCTTCGTTCCCGCGCTCCGACCCCGGGCGGCCTTCGGGTGCCTGCTTCCCCACCTCGATGCCCTGCGCTCCATCCCTGCGCGTTGCGTTCTCCTCAATCCATTTGATTGTGGTTAAATGGGAAGTTTCCACGTTTTTGTGAAAGTGTATTCTCTTTCCTGCCCTGAGGGAAACGCAATGTGTGTACCTCAGACGGACAGTCTGCGAAGGATGTCGAAGATGAAGAGGACTTGGAGTGAGTCTGCGGGACCTCAAGGCACAGACAGCACAAAGATCTATGCTGAGCCGCGTGTTTAACATCCCCGCGGGCTTCCTCCATCACCTCTTGGAGGTTTCTGTGGGTGAGAGCCTGAATGTGGGTTTCAGGTTCCAAAAAGACGACCAACACCCAAACTTAGTGAAAGTAATAACTTAGACATCCAGGAAACTAAACAAAGTCACAGCAAGATAAAGATGGATCAACAAACAGTGAAATCACTGTCAGAGAGAGAGGATTTGGAAAATAGCAGAAAAAATAGTGCATTATGGGAGAAAACCAGTAAGATCAGAATGAGTAGAAACAAGAGCAGAATAACAGTCATAGCCTACAAAGAAAAACTTAAGAATCTTACAAACCTATCTTTAAAAAATAGTGAAATAGTTTCCGATGTTGTTGTTGTTGTTGTTATGTGCCATCGAGTCGTTTCCGACTCATAGCGACCCTATGCACAACAGCCCTAAACCCGGCTCTATCCTGCGCCA